TCATTCATTCCTCACTTTCTCACCTAAATCTCACAACTGCCCTATCCTCAGGGACTTATAAAGAGATAACGAGAGGTTTACAGACTCTTGGATAAACAAAGGTTGGGTGCCTTAGTTAAGTACACACTTAAAAATGATTTCTAGAATTCAAGACAATAAGAATTTTCAAATGAATCAGATAATTCAAATATAATTCAGCAGATAGATATCAAGACCGTCAAATGGCTCTGATACCAAAATAGAGCGGAAGCAGAAAGCAGCAGAAATGAATGGGAAATTGAAATGTAAAATAAACAATAACAATAATAATTACACACAAGTATATTTACAATACTTACTGGACTAGCACTAGATGGGCTAGCCTACTAAGACTGATACAAGTGTGGGGAATAGTAGCATCTCATACTTGGAGCTTACAATCAGCACAGTATCTGTTTGTAAACGAGGAAAAATAAAATGAGTGAATTCTCGAGAGAGAAAATCTTACTCCTTGGACACCTGAACATACTTCTATTTGACGGCATACTAAGGTATCAACCGAACAAGTAGCTTTAGATAAATTTCAGAAAAGAGTAATTGAACAAAACAATTTTACTAATCAAAGCTTAATTGTTTTAGGCCAACAATTAGATAAGATTGAAAACAAAATTGAAAAAATACCTATTTCCCCAAAGAAATTAGAAAAACCTCTAGTAACCCTACCAGAAGATAGGACTAAATTAGGAATACCAGATCAACTTAGGATTGCAAAGATTGATCAGTTAATTAAAAAATTAGATGCACAAACCGAAACATCACAAACTTCTCAAGTAACTGTAATTAACAAAAATTCTGAAACTGAAACTGAGACTTCCATATCTTCATCTGAGGAAGATATTAAAAGCTTAGAAAAACAGTTCACTGACATAAGCATAAGTGCACCTATTTCTAAAATCAATAAGCTGGTTTTCCCTTCTAGTTCTACAAAAAATTGGTACTCCAAACCCACTCCCCCAGATATTCAATTTGAAGAGAAAAATATTTCTAACCAATTTTCAGTTCAATCTAACAAGCTCTATGAATGGAACATAGATGGATTAAGTGAGCAAGAAATTCTCAACAAAATTCATCACATGTCTATGGTCATTAATAGTTATGTAAATAACCTTAATGATCCTGAACCCCAAATTGTCGACTTAGTTACCTCAGGATTTACTGGAGTACTGAGGAGTTGGTGGGACAATTACCTTACTCCAGATTCTAGAGATGATATTAGAAATGCTGTTGTTCTTGATGATGATGGCATTCCAATTTTTGATGAGAGACTTGGCAGATCAAAACCAGATGGTTTTATATATATATATATATATATATATATATATATATATATATATATATATATATTTGTGTGTGTGTGTAAGTAATGATGGAAGTCTCCACTTAGCAACACATGCAAGGCATGTCTTGCATGCAAAAAAAAAAAAAACAAGAAGTTTTAGACATTTTCGGCAAGAACAAGAACAAGAAGGAAAGAAAAAAAAAGTGTAGGTGCAAAGGTAAGAGTTATAATCCATTTTCTTCCTCTAAGATGTAGGAATCCAACTCTAATATATATATTTTAAGTGTTGCATGTATTTAACATAGTAGTTTAGTGGGTAGTTTAGAAATCTTGTGAATTGTTCTTGAATTTTCATGAATCCATCAATATGAGTTATTACAAGTAAACATGTCATTTTATGCTTGAATAGAAAATTACGCAAATTTAAGTATATTTTTGTTATGTTTATAATTTTATGAAAAATGTTAAATTTGGGTGTAATTGATTCAAATAAATATTTTCTAAACGGATTCAAGAAGACTAGTTAAATTTGATTCGAGTAGATAATTTTACTCGATGCAAATTGATTACTTAACTTGACTCGAGTTGATTATCAAACTATTAGTTTAATCAATTCGAATAGATAATGTTATTTAATATAAATAAATTATTTGATTCGAAGGGATATAATCATTAAACTAGGTTCGAGTAAACCATCTCGAACTTAAGCAGTATTACATATTAATGTATGAATGAAATTATGAATATCGGTTATGCTAGGTCTGGAGACGAACACTGCTAAAAATGTAGCACTAGAAGTTTTGGCAGAAAGGTCGTCTACGAGTAAAACATCACGCAAGGTAAGTGCACCACCTTACAACATTTTTTGTGATAATTTATTAGACTTTTAAACATATATTTTTGCTACGGTTATTGTTGAGAATAATTAATTAAGCAGAGACATATGGTAATGTTTTGAGTGTCGTTTAAGTAATGATGGAGATTTATGTGAGTTGGATCGTCTAACTAACCTGAATTATTTATATGACTTGAGTCGTTTAAGTAACGTAATCAAAAACTCTATGTGATGTGGGTCATCTGAAGGAAAATTATTAATGTGGTTTGGGTTGTCCCAGTGACGAATGATATCTATGAGGTGATAAAGCTTGTAATACATGTGGCCTGTGTGGTGCAAGAATCTGTACAACTAAATATAGCTTGAGTGGCGGTTGCTGTTTACAAGGCAGTTAGTTTGTGTGCATGTGGGGTATTCATTGTGAAGAATAATTTAATTATATGGAAGTAAATATATGTGTTGTATATTTTGCCAATGATATATACAGGTTATGCCTATGCGATGTAAGCGAATGTGTATGAGGTGAAGTGTAAGTTGTAAGTAAGTATCTGATACGTGATTAAGGTTGTTCCTAAATAAATAAAGTTTCCTTTATCACTTGTTGTGCTCTTAAATATTAATTGCATCGTTGTTTTTACTAATTATTTTAATGACTTTTTAGAAAAAATCATAAAGACGTGAGAAGTCTACTGCCGAGTCTAGAGGGTTGATTGGGATGTATCATCATGGGGTTCATTTTTATGTCCTTTAAATTTAAATTGTATTATTATATTTCATATTCTTGAGATCAATATTACAGTCTATAAATCAGCAGGGCTCATGGCAAGCCGTACTACTAAGGGATTTGATGAATTTTTTTTATATGCTTATTTTTATATAAAGAAAGGTATATGAAAAAAAAATAGGGATTACCGATACTATACCCCAGATTGGGGTGTTACAACGAATATATTTTAGAGACTAAAATTACTATTAACCCAATATATTTCTATCAATGGATGCTCTATATCTAGTTTACAAAGTGGAGAGCATGCCAATTAGTTTGGAATAATGTTATTTGGACATGATTTTCTGATCTAAAGCATTACTATTGATGTGGATCCAATGACACTTGGAGCGGATTTAGGAAGAGAGGTTTGGGGGCAATTACCCCCACTGCAATTTTAAAAAATTTTAGGGACATTGACAATATTTTTAAAATATTAAATTTTAATGTTAAAACTTGTCCCTAGTAATTTTTAAAAATAAATGAAACTCTTTCATAAATTAAAAATCAGACTTAAACTTCCCTCAGGCGCCACAATATCATGACTTAATCTTCACTTTGCAGTTCTCTATTTTTTCTCTTATATTTGAATTTTTGCCTATTATGAAAAACATTTTAAATTAAATTATTACTATACATTGGACTTGAACAATTTACTTACGACAGATAAAATTGTTCCTACATCAATGATTTATTCAATGGTTTGGTCATAGATTGAATTTTTTATTCAGTCTATTTTTGAATATGTATGGTCATTATTATTGAGTTTGACTCTAAAATAAATAAATTAATTGTGTAATCAAATATCTTAAAAAGAATAGCATTGGAATAGAGAATGTTAGTATTAATGTCTTAAGTAACTATTAAGCTTTTGATTGCCCCCACTATGGACAAATCCTGGCCCCGTCCCTAATGACACTAATGGAATAGATTAGCTAGTTTAATTAGATCCAAACAATATTGCTAGATATCTTTAGCATGCAGCTAGTTACTTGGATATACCAATCAAATATCAAAAACTTACTACCAGCTTGGTTGTTGTCATTGTTATAGGGAAAGGGAGAGATTTTCTAATCCTAAATTGTCAATCCTACAATTTTTTTTTTAAAAAAAAGGCGTATTCAGTGCACGAGACTCCTGTCATTGTAAGATTTGAAACTATGTTGAAAATTTATATGTGTGTATGTATTCTACTACTCATGTGACTAAGCTTGGAGTAAGTGAACAAATCAGAATAAAAAAAAATTAAAATTTTTAAAAAAAAACACTATAACAAATTATACAGTAGCTTAGATTATGTGCATTGCTTGTAAGGTTGTAACCCAATTGAAAGAGGAGACCATTATTTGCTTAATGGATGGTATTTGCTCATTCCTTCCATGTCTGTCCTCATTATATGCTGCTTTATTATTAAGGTTTGGTTTTAAAGAGCTTGGATTCATACACTGTCGAGCTGGATCCGAATCTAATTCCTTAAAGTGCACTGACTAGAAAAATTTTAAATAAGAATCAAATGATATGATTGAGGCATGATATACGATGTTACCCAATTCATATTGGAAGTTTCATTTTTTAGATAGTCTAGCATTATTAAAAATGGAACAAAAAATCTTACCTACTATGCTTACATGATGGGTTCAGTGATATGGTCACAATGAAATAATCTAACAGTTGCAGTTACAGTAATGCTACCTTGCAATGTCGTTATCGAACCATTTTTTATCAGATGTCCGACCCGACAATGCATTCCACAATATCCGAAAGAATTTATTGAATGATCCAACAAGAAGCGAGGTATAAATCTGCATGTATGGTATTTGAGACAACGAGCATCTGTGATTTATGTTATAGTCATGAATTTAAAAGACACATGATTAAAACTATTTTCCATTATAAACAAACAAGGCAAATGCATCACACCATAACTAAAAGGAACAAAGGAGAACAAAAAGCATTTCTTTCAAATGTGGTGACACTGTAATCTATCTAACTACTTGAATCATGAAGAGAAACAAAATTTTTTACATTAGTGAAAACACTTCTAGATTTCTTTCATTGAACCGCATGGTACGTAAACTTAACTAAAAATTGACTACTGATCGATAGGTTTGACCAGGTGACCAGCCAGTGGGAATCACATTGTTTGCCACAATGCTCTTCCTGCTCTCAACTGTAGTCAGTCTGATAGAGAATGGAGCTTTTGTTGCTGGACTTAGGTTAATTTTCCACGTAGCGCCCCACGACTGTTGCATCGGAAGCCATTGATTTGAGCTCGCAGCATGGAGCTCAACCAAAGCAAGGTCACCATCGCCATCTTCATATTCAATTGCACAGGCAAAAAAATTAGGGTTAGAACCCGAACCGACGCGAAACGCCACCTTCACTCCAGGATAGTTGCATGGCACCCTGCAAAACAATTTCTCGTGAGAATATCAATCACAATAATGGAGAAGATTGTAATTTAAATATATAAGGGTAATTCAGGGTAATTCATACTTTACCCCCTTGAACCGTTCTCTTCTCTCACATAGGCCCCCAAAACTATCACATTTCTCACCTGGAATCTTGAACTATGATTACTAGTCTCACACTGTCCTCTTAATTCTCGTATTCATCAAACTACAACTCTAACTATAATTTGATACACACGCGTGCTCATTCACGTACGCACTTTTGATATTGAATATTTAGTTTTCCGGCGCTACGCAATTTTCCATCTTGGCCTGGTTTCGCCATGGCTCCAAAAGCTTTTCCACTTAAATCAAAATGGAACAGTTCGTCGTTGCAAGACCCGGGGCACTCATCAGTGATCGTCACGGTCACCGGATTCCTGGAGCAAGCTGCATTTTGTGTGCATTTCACCTGAAATAGAGCCATAGAAATTAAATTACTTATCAAAAATATTAGATAGTTGTTTTCTTTTACTACGGAATGTCTAGGTTTGCGCCGAGATAACAATGTTTTCACCTGATAACAAGATCCACACCCTTTTCCTGATTTGAATAGATTGGCATTCCCAGCTGAAACCATGGCAGAGTATGGAGGTTGCCCTACACCAGGTCCATATCCACAAGCTCCTCCTCCTACATCATAAAATGTGGAAAAACAAATATCACAGCTCTTCAAATTGTTGTGGGGGAGTGTGGTGAGGGGGTGGGGAGGGGGTGGTTGGGGTTAGGCCTATCACAATAGATCATATTTTTATCTAAATTCGATTCAGATTAGTTTTTTCCAATTAATTATCCAAATCCGAATCTAAATACGATATAAAATATTCCACATATCGGCTTTGAATTTATTGATATCTAACCCAATTATAATTCAAACCCAAATCTTATGTAAATTTACATAAATATATTAATCAAATGTAGTGAATATTTGATGAATTAATGGAGTTGAAATTTGGGTGTAGTTGACTAAAATCAATTCTAATCAAAGCGGATATTCAGATCAAATATCCCATTGTAGATAGATTTGTATATAGATTATAAAGAAATATCCAACAGATAATCAAGTTGGGTTCGAATTGAATTTTTAAAATCATGTTCGGATCTAGATCAATTTAAATTTGATCCGTTGACAGACTTATTTGAAATTATAGGCATGAACATATATTCTTAAATTTCCCATAAATCAGCAAAATGTGAATTTCCCTCAAACTATAAAACAAAAAACTCTAAAGAAACACTCTCTCTCTCTCTCTCTCTAGTTTTATGAATCGTATTACCACTTCCGGCTCCATGGGCACTGCCGTACCATGTTGCTACAGCTGGTGAAAAAGAACCCAGTGGAGATGCTGAGACATTGAGAAGCTTTAAATTTGAGCAAGAACACAAGTTCATCACAAGTGAACAAAGGGCTACAAAGATGAAGAGAGAGAAAGGTTGACAAAGATTGGGAGCCATATTAACACCGTGCCTCCAACAATACCAGGAGAATTTAGGACTAAGGGTGGCCAATTCCTAGCATTGTGTTAGGATATCATGACATGAGATGCTACACATATATATACACTTAAAATGTATTAGGCGGGAATCGTAATCCGTTGTAACCAGAGTTTCATACATTGGACTAGATTTTTATGTATGTATATAAACAGGGATATATATATATATGGGTAATCAGATTGTATTCGTGAATGCCCTATGAAAATGTAGTTCTACAATTTTAATTTGATCACAGAACATGAAGTTGTTCTAATTACCCTTTTTTCTAGTGGTTTAGGACACATTAAATAAGTTTACCTCTTTTCATTTGTGTGTCTAGAATTTGTGATTCTCATTTACATCCTTCTTAAAAAATCGTATTCAGGAAATCTAGTAACCAAGCGTATGTAGATTCTGTGTGTGGTTATTGAGCTCCAAACTCTTAAGAGCAATCAATGTTATATGTAGGGTGGATAATCGAATCGAGTTACTCGAGTTCAACTCGGGTTTAGCATGTTTAGGCTCGACTCGTTTTCTAAACGAATCAAGCTCATACACTTTTTTAGGTTCGTTTAAAAAACGAGCTCGATATGCTCTATGTCTAAATACTCGGGTTCGATTTTGATTCGGCTCGTTCTGGGCTAATTCAGGCTCGATTTATTTTCTAAATAAGTCGAACTTGACCAATTTTTTTAAGTTCACTTAAAAAAAGAGTTCGACAAGTTCGGCTGGAGCTCGTTTGGGTTCATTCGATTATCAATTCTAACCCTATGAACTTAAAATGTTAACTTGATCATTCACTGACATTGATCAATCCTAGTCTTCTGAAATTTTTTCACTATTGACTGCAAAAAGAACAAAATTCAAGTTGCACTAAAGTGGTGACCCATCTAGCTTTGTCTAAATAAAAATATGAAAATCTTTGAACTACACTAAAATTTCAGTACATGAACTTCAAAATCGAACTTCCGCTGGTAAATCATAAGTTTAATCATCTAATTGAAAGTGAAGTTAGGCCAAAAAGAATTCTCTCCTATTTCACATAGAGTTGACATTTCCTAGATTTGATTTGGGTCGGGTCTATTAAAGCAGGGGCAGCCCACGGGGACTTGGGCAAAAACATCACACGGGTTCCTACTAATATTTCGTCTATTAATATTATTTTTAATTATTGTAATTCATTTTTTTATTTATTTAAAAATTATTTTTATTATTTTTTGAGATACAAAAATATTGATTAAGTTCTTATATTCAAGTTTTGTCAATAAATCTTTTTTAATAGAGAATATAGCTAACTCAATTAATCTTTTTTGTGACATATTTGATCGTAGATAAGATTTTATCAATTTAAATTTTTAAAAACTCTTTTCTATTGAAGCGACTGTTACCTGTATTATTAACAAAATTCTATAAGCAATGCTAGTATTCGAAAAAAAATCTAGTATTTTTATGTAACTTAATATTTCAGTTAGAGTGTTGGTTTCAATTTTTTGAAATTCTTTTAAAATTTTCAATTCTGAAAGCAAATATAAGCCATCAATATATGTAGATACGCCATGTTTTAGAAAAATTTCAACCTTAAGACAGTTTTTTCAAAGTATTTTCATCTAAAAATATTAATTTTTTTTAACTAAATAAAAATCCAAAAATATATTTATATGTTTAAAATTGTTTAAATCTTTTCTTAATTGAAAGAAGAGATTGATCTAGAACATATATAAAGTAATCGATTCTAAAATATTCTTTAGATGAGTGTATTATCTCATCATCAACAATCTCATCAAATTATCTTTTCCTATGAATTTTACATTTTTACGAAATATAGGTTTTATAACTATTTCTATAGCAATCTACAACTAATTAAATCATCATTTCTACTTCTACTTATATTTTGTTTATCACTGATAATAAATTTATGAAGTATCTTTTTTTGAGATAGAATAAATGAATTCTTTTTCTTCTTTCTTCTTTTTTTTTTTATATTTTTTTTTTGATAATATTGAAAACCAAAGACAAATCGAAACCAAAGTGAGTCAAAAGTTAAATAGTCATTAATTTTACAATCTCTATGCAAGCGCAGTGTTCCATTTTAGGAATGAGTTTCTGATGTCGCTGTTTGGTGTTTAAAGATTTGTTCCATAGTAGTTGGGTTTGTAGAAAATCATTTTTCTTTTACTCTAGAGGACGCTTTGTCAAACACCAACTCTCCTCTTTCCTTTGTATATGCTGTCTCTCTCCATATTTTGTTGAGTTTTTCCCCAAACTCAGCCTCTCCAAAAACTTAATTCTTAAACTCAGTCGATTTTAAACTTATTTCTCAAATCCAGTCTCTTTTTAAAAACATTATTTCAAATGACGCGTTTATGGATTAAAACGTTATTTTAAATGACGATTTTAAATTGAATTTTTTTATTAAAAACGTCATTTAAAATGAAGTTTTTAAAAGTGTCACTTTTATTAACGTTTTTTAAAATGAATTTTTAAACTGTAAACTAAGCGGCGTTATTAGAAAACGTCATTTACAATGACGTTTTCTTCCCACTTAACTGCTAACCTCTCTCTGTTTTCAATTTTCAAATTTCAAAATTTCAAAAACAACCCACCCATCTCCCCATCACTGTTATGAGTATTCTCTCTCTCACTTATCACTCAGAACCATAACTATCTCTCTCTTTCTCCAAATCGCCTCACATAACCGGTGAAGGTGGAGACCCAGCCATATTCAGGTTGTATCGGTGGAGGAAAAAGAAAAATCCTCTTTCTTTCTCTAAAGTGAGATTGGATACATAGATTACACAGACACACATATTTTTCTCCTTTAGCAAAGTTATCCAGTATTCCTGCGGCCCTATGTTCCTTGGTTACCCTGACTTCAGAATTGATGCAGATGTTGCGCACCAACTACATTCCGCATATCCCCAAGGCTATTCCCATGGCCGCAAACAGAGGATACACCTCGAGCGTCAGCCACCGATTGAGAGTTGACGAAGCCATGGGATGTTGGGTTTTGTTGCTTTGGATTCGTTTGTCACTCAATTGGATGAGGTTTAATGCTAGGTTCTTGAGGAAAAAAAAGTGCTAATATACTATATTGTGACTTCTGAGTCCTATTCTTATGTACAGTTGTTTAAAAGATGGATTATATGCCAAGTTTTATTATCATTTGGGCATTTCTTTGTTTAAGTTTTATTCCTTCTCCTACAACAATTTCTTTGAGAAAGTTGTATTTGGTGATGATAAGTTACTGAATCCTTGTTTTTTCCCTTTTGGCCATTCTTTTTAGTTTTTGAGCTTGGCAAAATTTTTTGGCCTTTTTGATATGGAAATTGAAATTCTGAAATTTAACTGAAAATCTTTTTGCACTTTTTGTTTTAGTTATGTCTACATGATACAAATTCAAAACCAGCAACTTAAGTTTGCAATAAAGCTAATGGCTCCTTAAGCTCTCAGAATTACTCATCCTTGCTGTAAAAATTTAAAGAAAAGTAGGTGAGTTAAAATTTGAAAAGGAATGCACAAGAACTATCCTTGCTGCAGAAAATTTGAAAAGGAATGCACAAGAACCATCCTAGAAAAGTAAGTCTCCAGAGATCATGCCATCGATCAACGGCTTCTTCACCAACCCAGAATGAAAAACAATGAGTTTACTTGGTTGATATGCTCCTCATTATTGTTAGTTTGATGCCAATTAATTCTCATGGCAGGAAATGAAGTATTTGATTTGCTTAAAACTTGAATAAGTGTAATGCAGAACTTATTATTCCTGCTTAAGCAGCAGCACCTTTCCGATGGTGGACTTGTTGCATAAGTTCTTGTCTGATTTTTGCCCAAAGGATTTGCTCAGTGGCCTGATCTATTCTGGGTGATCTGATATATTGCAACCTCATATGTTACGGTTCTAGGTCTTGTGTGATTATTTTGGGATGATCAAAAGTTTGGGGTGCAGTTCATTTTTTGGCCTTTCGGGTGATGCTCATGGATCTATGTTCAAGAGTGTTTTCTGAACAGATATCAAGAAGGTGAATCTAGGATTTGTATTCCAAAAAGAAGGGTTTCAAGAATCTGACTTGGGTCGATCCTAAAAAAGAAGGGTTTCAACAACCCTTCTTACTAATTGCACCAAATTCAATGATAACATTGGAATACCCATTTAGTTTAGTGAAATTGGTATTTATATGCAAATAAATTGGCATCGGAGGCTTATAGTTGCTTGGATGAAGTCAAAGACCATGATCTGGAATTTATTTTCATTTTCAATCTATTTTTGTGTTGGAGGCTTGGTATTGGAGGCTTTGTTTGTTCATTTTTTTCAACCTTGGGTACTTTAAGAATGTTCAATAGTATTTACCTTTATCATTATTTGCTTACTTTTTATGTTTCAAATGACAGCTCTTTGTGGCTAATGAAAATAAGCCTCTTGACATTGTCAATGTGCTCGTTGCCAAAAGAAGCAAGCTTTTACGATTACTTGGTGTCTTCAAGGCTGATACAGGTGGTAAATTGTTAATTATAACATTATTGTGACTGCCATGTTTAAGTAGTAGGAACTGAACCAAAAATGATTTGTTGTAGAGGATCAATCATTTGAGGTGGACAAAGCTAAAGTCGTAAAAGAAATTGCGGAATTGGAACCCCAACCACCAGTGAATGTGTCGAGAGAATTGTATAAAGATCTCGTGATTTAGATTGTCATCGACTTATTCATGAATTTATAGTTTTGATAAACAATCATATCTGAACCATCTGATAGTGATTGTATGGTGTTTCTCTGTCAAAGATGTTAACCAGTAGAGTTGAAGTAAGTATTCATTTAATCATAGTGACCATTTGATGGAACTGACAACTTGCTATTGATGAGAATGAGATATTAGGCAAATGTGAATAAGCCTTGTGCATTTGATCTTGTCCAAAGCATGCCCATGGATTTGTGGATGGATTGGTATTACCAAAGGACAAGCTCTAGTAAGTCACATTTACAAACCAGATGAGGGGAACAACTGCTGTGAGGGTGGATTTCTCGCATTGCACTCTTACCAAAGGACAAGCTCTAAAAAATTTAAGAATTTTTATTTTGTATCCTCAAAGATTAGATTTCTCTCATTGATTTTTGACAGACTAAACAATGAAAGTTAAGGGACACATTGTAACACTTTTATATGTTAAGGGTGTAATATAAAAAAATTAATTTTTAAGGGTATAAAATAAAAATTTTAAATCTTTCTGATTACAAAGTGAATTGCAAATTGCACCCTGAAAGATCGTTCAAATCTTAATTTGCATCCTCAAAGATCAAAAATCTCAATTTACACCCTCAAAGATAGAAATTTGTATCAATGTACACCCCAAAGATAAAAAAATCTCAATTTACACCCTTAAATATAGAAATTTGTATCAATGTGCACGTAAAATTAAATTGATAAATTATACCTAGATCCCTTTATACTTGTCACTTAATCTTTTGGACTTCTTCACATTTAAAATATTATTCCTACATCTCATGACGTTTGTGCACGTATAACACGTAATCCCTTTTCGTTAATATCTGTTAATATAACCGTTAAAAAATATAATTTTATATTACCCTTTATTTTATGGGTCCAATATATTCTAAAATTTAAAATCAAGCTTACCATTTGAATGTCTAATAGAATAAAGGGTTGCACATTGAGTGATATATTGCATTAGATATAAAAAATATTATATAAATATCTACATTTTATTGGGTATTCAAATAATAAGCTTGATTTTGAACTTTAAAGTATATCAGACCCACAAAATAAAGGGTAATATGAAATTATAATTTTTTATAAGAATAAAATCATATTTTTTTTAATGGTTATATTAACATATATCAACAAAAATGGGTTATGTATTACACGTGCACAAACAACATCATGAGATGTAGGAGTAATATTATGAATGTGAAGGGGTCCAAATGATTAAGTGACAAATATGAGGGGATCTAGGTATAATTTATCAATTTAATTTTAGACGCACATTGATACTGCTACAACTTTAGAATTGATCACCTAAGTACAGATTGTGCGAAGTAATAAATTTCTCGGGAGTCCGAGGTCGAACCACAGGGAATTGAAAAAACAAGAGACACAAAACAAATAAAAAGTAAACTTGTAAGAATAATTTATTTAAGAGATTGTTGAGTTGAAAAAATATTGATTGGAGTAATTAAAACAATATAATAAAAATACTAGAGCATCAGGTACTCCCTCTCAATTCCATACAATAATGATTAAGGACTCAAAACTTAATTTAGAATAAGAATCAGATGTAGGTTGATTCGAATAACAAATCAAGTAAGAAAACTAAAAGTTATAATCAAAAGATTATTTAAGAACCTGAATAATCATTCAATTATATTATTTTATGAAATAATGATAATTACTTCAAGCATAGAATAATCAGTTATTTACTCGTAGGGAAATTCAAGCAATCGATATACATGACACAACAACTCAAAGATTTTTACAGAGTAAAAACTTTGCTATAAGATCAGAAGTTAAATTAACAAAATATCATAAATCATTAAATTCAAAATTAATAATATTACCGTACATCATTAAGAGATTCTCGCCTAACCCTAGCTTAGTCTTCTAGTCAGACATGACAAACTAAAACTAGAAAAGAAAAGATAGGAAAAAAATTATCCTCTAAATCTTAAATGAGAACCATTATTTATACTAAAAATAAATCTTAAGTATAAGTAGAAGATATAAGGTTGGCTTGGAAAGAATTCATTTCAAAAGAGAAATCTTGTAAGGTTAAATCCGGTGCATAAAATCTTTGGAGCGCCGGTACAAAATCTGTCCAGACTTCAAGCTTGAATTTTACATATTTAGAGGCTAAATCACAAAATTTTCGTGAAATACACTTTTGTAGCCCTTGGAGTCTTCTTTCCAGCCCCCAAAAATCAAGTAAATCGGATATAAAAGTCAAAAGTTATGATCTAAATACTGAAAATATGTCAAAACCTTATTCTTCTAGGATACTTTTATAATCTAACTTTAAATGAGTTTTCTTCCATCTTGAACTCTTATAAGGATTAAATTATTGTCATATCTTCAAATCTTCTTATCTCAATATTGACTCTTCAATACTTATTAGTTGTGATTCTTCCTCTAGTGATTGATTTACTTGTTTTATCCATTATTACTTTAAATCAATCAATTTACTTGTAAAATAAACCAAACAACTAGAAAAAATATCAAACTAAAAAATCAAGGAATTCAATACATGTAATCACAAATAATATGCAATTAACCAATCATTAAATATAATAAAATAGCAATTTTGATGCTTAATTAGATACAAATTTCTATTTTTAAGGGTACAAATTGAGATTTGTTTATTTTTGAAAATATACATTGATATAAATTTTTATCTTTGAGAGTCTAAATTGAGATTTTTGATCTTTGGGGGTACACATTGATACAAATTTATATATTTGAGGGTACAAATTAAGACTTTTGATATTTGAGGGTCTAAATTGAAATTCAAACTATTTTTGAGAATACATCTTCCAATTAACCCTAAATTAAAATAGCAAGGCCTTTATTGCAAATAACCATAGAAAGCAGGCCCAAAAAAAAATTCTTCCCCGGGTTTTTCTTTTCCAACAAAAGTCTGTAGGTTTAGCAACAGAAAGCAACGACGCACTCAAAGTCAATCTTTTGCAGCCATTGATGTGAGCTTTCTCCCTACATCTGCAAGCTAAATTAAATGTACTAGAAAACGTTATTTGGAAAGACGTTTTTAAACGTTATTCCAAATGACGTTTTTTACGCACTATTTTTTTTTAACATCTGTTACTTGTTGTTTGAAAATTTATTTTAAAAAATGTCATTAAAAATGACGTTTTTAATAAAAAAAAATTCAATTTAAAATCGTCATTTCAAATGACGTTTTAACCTATGAAAGCGTCATTTGGAATAACATTTTAAAAAAGAGACTGAGTTTGAGAAATAAGTTCAAAATTAATTGGATTTGAAAATAAAGTTTTTAGAGAGATTGAGTTTAGGAAAAAGCTCTATTTTGTTCCCAAACTTCACCTCGGCAGTTCAGTCTCCTCCAATTCCCATTTTCAATGGCTTTTTGGTTTTCACCCTATTTCTTATGCTCCTTGCACGCAATCTCCTAACTAATTCCAACTACAGGATGTAAGTTACTCATTATAAAAAGCTTTATAGAATTTGTCCCTACCTAATTTATTTCCTAATAATTGTATGTGCTGAAAATACTGTATAATAAATAAATAAAAATTACAAGTAATTACTCGTGTGTGAAGACACTATATAATACAAAAAAACGTCAATCAAAAAATTGAGAAAAAATTTGCCAATCAATGTGTCCAACAAAACACAATGAGAGGCCTATTAGCTTATGTAATTTTGTGTATAAGATCTTTACTAAGCTGATCAATGAGAGGCTGTTTTCTTTGTTGTCTGTGCTGATTTCTGAGGAGTAGCATGAATTTGTTCAAGGGGTATTGGTGACTGTTGCTCTGGGCCAATTGTTGGTTTCAGGAACTGGACAGAAAAGTTAAGGGTGGTGATGTGGTGATGAAGCTTGACATGATGAAAGCTTATGACAGATTAGAATGGGACTTTTTGCTGAGAGTGTTGAGATGCTTTGGGTTTTCAAATGGGTTCATTCAAATCATCTCTAATTGTTTGAGCTCCCAATACTTTTCTATTTGTTTAACTCTGGAGGATTAAGGCAGGTGATCCTCTATCTCCTGCCTTATTTATCTTAGCTGAGGAGGTTTTAAGCAGGGGTCTGAGAAGCATCTATTAGCAGCAGGAGCATTATCACATTGGGAGAGGGACTACTGTGGTGAGTCATTTACTCTTTGCTGATGACACCTAGTGTTTATTAGAGGTTATAAGAAATCTGTGTTGAATTTTTTAAAGTTTATTGGAGAGTATGAGGCTTGTTCTGGGCAGAAAGTGAGTAAGCATAAGAGTGCTTTGTACTGTTCTAAAAGGATCCCTCTGTCAAGAAGGAATGACTTGTCAGCTTTGGTTGGTATTCCTATTAAAAGTTGCCCCCTTTACTTACTTAGGATGCCCTTTAATTAGGGGCAGGTCCAGATTGTATTACTTTGAGGAAGTGGTGAAGACATTCAGGAGAAAGATTGAAGACTGGTATGCTAGGATGTTATCTAGTATGGGTGGAGTAGTACTAGTTCAATCTGTGCTAAATTCTATCCTTATTCATATGCTAGCATGTATGAACATCCCCAGAGGAGTATTGAATAAGTTGAACTCCTTAATTGCTGGTTTTATCTGGTCTAGCAAACTGGATGCTAAAAGGAGGCATTGAGTTTCTTTAGAGAACATTTCTAAACCTAAGGAGGAGGGACGAATTTAAGTTATGACTTGGTTGCTTGCCTCTTAGTTCTTGCAAATGAAAACCTCTATCTATTTATAGACCTTTTATCTTACCATAAATGACTACGAGATTGCTAAATGTTATATATTTATGATGTCTCTAGAATCTTTTGTACAAATATCTAGTCTTTATATATATATATATTAGAATATTGTAGGCCTCTCTTATACTTCTCCTTTTATTCCTTGTATTTTCTACAATGTTCCTTGGAGAAGGTTTATATAAGAAACTCTTTTTAGGATACTCTAGAATATTACGTAAAGTGATTTTAAAATTAAAAAAAAAAAAAACTCATCCTAAGGTTGTTTGGAATTTTCAAGAAGACGGGGCATTAGAAAAGTGTCACTTAACATAAAGTATTATGTGTTAAGATAACTCATCTTACATAAAAAAAAAAAAAAAGAAAGAAAGAAAGAAAGAAAAATCCAAAAAAAGAAGGTAAGACTAAAAAAATAAAGGTAATAAAAAAATATTCATTCATATGTGTTGTATCATAATTCGCTCAATTTATAACCGATCCATTTATAATCTTATATAATTGAATTTGTACTAAATATAAATCATGTTTAACAAATTTGTTTCGTATTTAATTAAATTTATGTTAACATATTTATTTGAAAGACTTATTAAGTTCATTTGTTTATCACTCGTATTTACTAAAGACAAACCCCAAAATCAATTTATGAACAAACATTTCATGGAATCAGCTTCAGTTAGGCTTGCATTAACAAGAAGATTTGTCATTAAAAGAATGAAATAATGCGATGAACCATATTTTCTTGTTTTGTTTGTTCGTACACATGATCTCTATAAGAAAACACATTAAAAGTCTAGGTTGTTAATTATCTTGCAATACTTTCGGATCTGAATCCAATGTTAGGGACTGTTTGATAATATCATTTAAGATTTAAAACTAAATATTTTAAGTATTAAATAAATTAAATTCAATTGATAACCTAAAATTCATACTACTTAATATTTTAAGCAATTCTTAAAAATAAATTAAAATTTTAAATAGTGAGTCATTTATTTATCACTTAATACTAAAAATATTAGTCAATAAAAATTTTATCAATTTCTTGTAATGGACAAATATATCCTCACCACCGTTGAATGCATAGAGCTTCGTCACTACAACAAGCGCACACATTAGATATAACACATAGCTACACATACTCCAATACACCCATCACACACTTTCCCTCTCAAATTTCGCAAACTCAATACAAATATCTTATAACACATAGTTACACATACTCCAATACAAACTCATTACACGCACACATTAGATATACACTCCAATTGTACACACACACTCTAATACACATACAGTGTCATAGTTTAATATTTAGTGACTTTAGTCACGAGATATCGCTATAACTCTGTATTCTATATCTAAATAACATAATGCAAAGAATTCCTATAACATTTAGTTCATGATCACATGCGGCGCAAAAAATGGATTATAGCAAAAAGGAGATAAACTAATGCCTTTATTATTTTGTTAAAAATGTGAAATCTAGATTTTCATGATGTAACGCCAACAGCACATCCTGTACAAATTCATGTGCCATGTTATTCCATGGAGTCTTCAATCCCAGGGTTGACATTGTCACAAAGAAATAAAAGCAAGCAAAATTAGTTAATGAAATAATCACTTCATTACAACATTGACAGGTTTTCTAACAGACAGAAGGTTTGTGGTCTGATCTTCGCACATACATACCCTCGTAATAAAACGTTGGTTTGTCAAAATTCTAACACCACATAATTAACTAATACGAATTAAACGAATTTGAGGTAATACATTAACGAATTCGAGTGATAAATGTATTAATCCGTTTAATAAATAAATCGTGTTCAAGTGACACGTATCAACCGTTTATCGGTCGTTTAAATAAAATTTTTATACTAAGATATTAATAATTATTTTTAAAAAATTAACCATAATTTTTTTTTAAATGATAGCTAGCGAATAACCACACAAAAAATATATAAACTTATTTTGTACGGGCCTAATCTAATTTCATGATTCCATCTTTTGATTGAAGCTTTGTTGTGTGCCTCCTGCCGTCCACTCTTCGGCTATTCTGCTCCTCTCTCTCTCTCTCTCTCAGCGAGCTGCTAGATCGACTGAGACTTCGAGCAGATCTGTTTTTAGATCGAGCGAGCTGCGAGATCGAGTAAGACTTCTAGCAGATCTGTGTTAGATCTGTAAAAATTCTTTGTTATTCTGTGTTAGATCTGTAAATATTATTTGTTATTTGTTGGGTTAGAAACGTAAACTTGATTTCATTTCGTGAGAGATGATGGGTTTAACTGAAATAAAAGAATTGAAGCCTTCTTTTTATGAAAAAAAAAAATGATGGAAATCTTTGTGAGATATAATGGAAATGAGTGTTTGGCTTAGATTGTGGAGGGGCGGCCACCTAAGGTTGTGGAGACTACGTTGTAATTTGAGAGAGAATCAGATCTACCTGTGGATTTCTTTTTGTAATTGGGACATGAATTTACATGGAAAAGAGGGTGGTGATTCAATCCTATATGACATGTAAAAAGCCTTAAATTACCCGCAAGTTATTTTGAGATTGAGGTTTTCATAAATATTTCTTTTGAGGATGGTAAGACCTTCTAGGTGATTTTGTGGGAGCTCTTATATGCTTTTTTGAGCTAATTAAACAAGTTTGGGTCTTATATTGTTCTGTAATTATGGCGACGAGTGTTGAGGAGGAAATTTATTTTGACCATTTACAGATGCTGAACAAGTTTTAGATATTTTAGAATACTGAGGGTTGTTAATAAGTTTTCAGAATGTGATTGAAATTTTGGGTTTCTGTGGAGTATTTGACAAAAATGACTATGGTGGTTTATGTGAGACCTTGTTCCATAGGCACAACCCCTAAAAAAGGTGCAATCACGAATTCTGAACTTCACTGTAGTTGTCTGCTTGAGTGTACCAACAGAGCAACCAAAAAAAAAAAAAAGCACAGGTCTGGCGACGTGATTTAGAAAAGAATTTGATGTTTTTATGAAGGGAAATTAACCCAAAGTTACGTTTTATTATGAGGGTATGTATGTGCAGAGATCAGACCACAAACCTTCTGTCTATTAGAATACCTGTCAATGTTGTAATGAAGTGATTATTTCATTAACTAATTTTGCTTGCTTGTATTTCTTTGAGACAATGTCAACCCTGGGATTGAAGACTCCATGGAATAACATGGCACATGAATTTGTACAGGATGTGCTGTTGGTGTTACATCATGAAAATCTGGATTTCACATTTTTAACAAAATAATAAAGGCATTGGTTTATCTCCTTTTTGCTATAATCTATTTTTTGTGCCGCATGAGATCATGAACTAAATGTTATAGGAATTCTTTGCATTATGTTATTTAGATATAGAATATAGAGTTATTAACTACCTACTTGTATGAGGATAACATTTTTGAGTTCCTTGATGTAAGCTTAAATTTCTATCGTGAGGACTAGAATTGCATAATAATCATCACTTAAAGGAAATTAATGAAGGTGTGGTTCTACCTAGTTTCTTTTTACACACCACCAAACTCAAATTTTATTTTGCTAGTTGTCTATTTTAGTTTGTTGCAACTTCTTTGGACATTTCTCTGATGCTATTTCTGGTCGTTTAATAGTAAATTATCTTGTTGTGCAGTTAATATTTAATACTGAAGAAACTTCCAAAGTTCATTTTTATGTATTTTGCTGTCCATTTCCTGCCAATTTGAAGCTCTTAGACCAAGTAAAATATACTAGAGCCCTTTTCTGCTGCTAAGTGAGAGTGAGAAACAAAATCAAATGATTTTTTGACTAGTGTGTATATGAGTGTGCCTGTCTGTGTGTACTATATTGTGTTTGAATGGATAAGTATCTGTTCTGTACAGCATTTTGTGTATTAGTGTGTGTGTGCTTGTCGTGATGAAGCTCTATGCATCCAAACTTTGAATTGCAGATACTACAGAAATGGCTTTGAATGGAGCAGCTCCCCCAAGAGGAAGTGCAGCAGCTGCTGCTGCCAACCTGCGTAGGAGGAGAACAACAAGTGGTGGGTCTGCAGCTGGAGCTAGCGGCACCATGCTGCAGTTCTACACAGATGATGCCCCAGGACTCAAGATTTCTCCCAATGTTGTTCTTGTCATGAGCATCGGTTTCATTGCTTTTGTTGCCATTCTGCACGTCATGGGTAAGCTGTATTTTGTTCGTAGAGAAGCTTAAGAAAGTGATATGTGTGGTGGATTTTGAATTTGAGGGATTACAGAGAGAAACTAAATGGTTGTAGACTTCTTTGATAGATTATCTTTTTGCTCGTTTTGAAAATTTTTAATGCTTTTAGCATCCTGATCACAAAGGGCAAAAACTGGTCCATTGGCGTTATAGTATCGTTTGAGGCTCATACTGGTGAACACGAATTCTGTTTTATCAGTCTATTTTCCTTGTTGCTTAGAACATGAAAGGTAGCTTAAAATATGAAATAACAAGCGGGAGAAACTCCTTGTTCTGGCATTCCGTCTCATTAAGCTCTTCAAAAAACTCATGGTTACGTCATAAAAAATGTTTGGAGGAGTGTTAGGCCTGAAATGAATAGGTTGAGAGATGGGCCTTGTTGGATAATTACCTTATGCGTGATCTACCACTGGTTCTATGTCGTCTATTGTTAGAAAGATAGATGAAAAAAGAACTCTTGCCGTTTTCAGAACTAGGAACCCTAGTTATAGGTCACTTTTTACTAGGGTGGCAATTGTGTCATTTTGAGTTTGTATCGAACAGTAATCAATTATAACTCAACTCGTTTAATTAATTGTATTGAATTATTTATTTTTGTATTGTGCTTGTATTAAATTATATAACCTGTGAATACAAAATTTATTGTTCAATTTTATGTCTAAAATTTTATTATCACTTAATTGAATTAATATTTTTTTTTGTAAATTAAAAATTAACTTTATAAATATAATAATCAAAATGAGAAAATATTAGTTTTTACAAAAATTAAGTACTACATAATAAAATATTATAGAAAATGACATTTTATTCTTATAATACTATTTAAAATTGTTAATCGTATTAATTTCGTATTTAACACTAATTCAATTCATTTATTATTCTTATTAATAGGTTGTCATACACAAATTTGTGTTGAAAAAGTCAATTTTAACTTGTTAATTTTGTGTGTATTTTTTTTTATGTCATAAATTGTCGCCCCTACCTTTTACCCATCTTTACAGGAATAAATTCTAAATGCCTATAATCCCTTACAAACCACATGTATCAATTAAATCCAAGAAACAGGGAGAGTTAGATTCTTGACATCTTGATTTATAATTCATCTAAGTCAACTGCAAAACAGCTGGGTTACTACTCATGCAGGTTAAAAGAAAAGAAGAATGAACCCACCCAGCATTCATTCTTTTTCACCGAAACAATTGAAATGTCTCTTTTTTTCAATAGAAACCTAATTGATTATTTTACTTTCAATGCTCAGGGTGTTTTGGAAAATCTCGAGGCAATTTAATCAATGTTTCAAAATGTTCTAAAAAAAAAAATATTCCTTGCAACGAATTTATTTGGAATATTTCCAATTTACGTGCAAAACTATGCACCAAAATTTCACTTTTGATCCTTGCATATAACTTCTGACTTTCATTTATATGGATATTTATTTCCAAAAACCCACCTGAAAGTAAGACATCAACAAAGTAATTGAAACAAAACCTGGTTGATACACGCATCTGCATGTGTCCATTTATGGCAATACTCACTGATAAACAGGAGATTATCACGGTTTTCAGAGGCTTTAATCAGTCGCAGTAAAAAAAATGCTGAATGGAAGGGATGAATCTGATCAATAAACAAATACATATAAAAGATGCACCTGGAGGAGCTACATGGTACTAAACTACTAATGTTGGCCACACCCATGAGACATTATAGGGAGAAGATGCAATAAACATAGATGACCTAATGGCACTCAGGAAGCTAGCCAATACGAAGATCAGATTGAACAGAGCCCTAACAAATGTTGAATGAAGTGTGCAATTCTCAGAAGGAAATGTTAGAAATCTTCTTAGAATCTTACTCAGATCACTGCTCTACTTATCCACACTAAAGGTAACATCCCCAACTCTAAATCAGAATAGACTTTCTAGATTCGAAGCAGTTTGGACCACTCAACCCGATTTTAGGTTAGTAGTGACCAAAACATGTAATAGAAACAATCACTCAATAATAAAAGCCACCGAGGCTTTTCCCCCTGAAGTCGAAGAATGGAATAATAACTCATTTGGAGACATGTTTCGTAGGAAAAGAAGGGTAATAGCTAGGAGAGAAGGCATTCAAAAAGCACAGGAGTCACACAACCAGGACAGACTTGAAGACCAACTCCAAGTAGAATATCATAAAATCTTGGAACAAAAAGAAATACTATGGTATCTAAAATCAAGATTGAAATGGATTACTCTTGGAGACAGAAATACTAAATATTTTCATGTTTCCACAATACTAAGAAAGAGAAACAGACCCTAAGCCCTAAAAAAATCACAAGGCACGTGGTTAATTGATCAAACTCAGATAGCCAATGCTGCCCAAGATTACTACAAAATAACTTTTTGGAAATGAGAATATCATCTCTCAGGAAAATAATGAACCCAACCACGGGTCTCGACCACAACAAGAGGATATATTAACATATTGGAACACCTTGTATCAGACATGGACCATGGATGAAACTCACCCGAACAGTGTGTTAATTGCCAACTGCAAAGCATTAATGGAAATGCACCATACTTCAATCATCCACATACTACGTGAAGCAAACACTGTGCGGACCGATTGGCAAACCTCAAAGAGCATCAACTAGAAAGTTTAGTGGTGCTGGAGGAAACCCCCTTACAGATAAGGGCCTTGCTTATTAACTCAGACTGCGGGCATTTCTTTTGTTAATCTCAGTGTGTCTCATTTGTTAACATTTCCCATGGTACCATAAAACAAGAACAAAAAAATTTGGATTCAAATATCTCCAAAGCTGGGACTGTAAAAAACAAATATGAATCGTTGCATGATGATGATGCTTTGATATGGAGATTTGGAGACCATGAAAACAAAAAGATAAGCAGTACTCCAAGCATTAGTTTAGCATTCAAGATGGGTAAATGGGTATTAACATCAGGATTGTTAGTCTTTGAAGATCAGGTATCAAAGTGAGTAGTTAAGAGGTTTGCATGACATCTGCAGATGAACTAGACATAACATCAGATATGATGTCAAGTCAAATATATGTACATGCATACATACAGCAGGATAAAAGGTGAGCAGTAAAGACCTAGTGCATGTTGTCAGATATCCCACCCGAAACCACAGTCATCCACAGGTTTTGGGCCGCATGATCTTGAGGCTGACTCAAAGAATTTCTCGATTTCTGGTGCACATCTTGTAAAAGATAGGTCCCAGAAGTTGTACCTTGAGTTCTGCACAATAATAAACAAATAATTACTTAAAGCACCCTCCATTTGCAGAGAGCAGACGGTGTTCTCTGAGAAAATGAACATAAAAATACCTTAATGAGCTCAATGAAAGTAATCAGAAGACCCCATGGATGAGGCCGATTAACAATTAACCGTTCCAAAAGCACTCTGGTGATTTGCTCCTGGATCATTTCCTGCTCCATGGAACCAAATAGCAAAATTAATAGGTAGGTAAATCTATGTGGCCATTCTATTAGAGCACATAAATAAATTGCTAAAACTACCCCAAGTGGATTTCAACAGGTAAATCAAGTCATTGACATAATATTATTTGATGCATAAGCATCCAAGTACCGACGGGTCTTTGGTCCAATGCTCCGCCAGGTCAAGGGTTCAAGTCCCCCTCTCCCCCCACCCCCAATAAAAAAGGAGAGCTAGAGCGATAGACTAATATCACCCAGGCATCTCACAAATATAAAGATCACAAGTTTCCTGAAAAACAGATACACAAGTTTTAGAAAAAGCATCCCTAGAAAGATAAAAGCAGTGTGTGAAAGATTGTGAGCACTAGTGCTCTTTGGTGTCACCCTCGGCATAACTCTTATACATGATTAATGAAGCACATCTAGAAGCACCACCACACAAGGAGAATGATCTACATGGCATACAGATTCTCAATAAAAATATTGAGGATCTGATGCTCAAATGTAGCCATAAAATCACAAATTTTTCAACCACTTGACCGTCTACAAAAACAGAAAAACACACCAGCATAAATAGTAAAATACAATTCAAATCCACTCTCTTACCTGGTTTAATTCGGCAAACAAGTAAAGAAGAATAAAGGAGAAGTAACGTGTATGGTTGTTTGGGTATCGTAGTTGATTGGCAATTGCATTCAGAAAGAGGTAGCGCCCTTCGGTATCTAGATCTTGAATCAGAGTCTGGAAGATATCCAAAGCAGCACCCACCAAGAACACGGCCATTTGAACACTACTGGCCATTGGCTGGGCATGAGAATTTTGTGCCTGCAGCTGCTGTATAGCCTATATCAAAGTGCCATGATTAGCTTAGTAAACAAATATAATTAAAAATTGATATAGTCCCCTCATTTTTGAATTTTAGAATATCATTAATGACTTTTGAGGGTCAAGCGACCATGTGCATGGATGGAGCCCAATGGAGGCCTATCAAATTTTCTAAAATACCTAATTCTCCCAAACCTTTTGAAAAACTGTCTCCTCTTAGGTCCAAAAATATTCTTACATATGGTACATAACTTAGTTTATTAAAGAAGCTTCATGGCCTGATATCAGAAATCAAATGAGGCATGTTAAAAAAAAATGAATGAGTGCCGCTTTTACAGACAAAGACACTTGGTCGGATGAGTTTGATGATCAAAACAACAAAAATATAGTTGTTGTAACTTGTATGGTGGACTTACAAGTGTAACTTATATATTGAATAATTCACTAAGTTGCAATTAATTTAATCGATGGAATCGTGTGAAATTAATATTTTAAGATGGAAATTAATTTATAATCCTTATATCAGGCCATAAAGAAGAGAATAAGTAGAGCATGCATTGTCTCATATTCATTTTTATGATAGTAAGAACAAACCAATCTTTTGATTTATGATCCAAACTAATTTTTAAAACAATGCCATGTAAAAGTCCATTTTATTAGTTTTATACAGTTAAAGACTGGACATTAACGATAACTTGTCAAATGGGGCAATTTGAATAGAATTTTGGATAAATTTCACTGACACCCCCTAATTACAGGGACACCCACTCTGATTTCCCCTAATTACAGGGACACCCACTTTGATTTCTGAAATATCACTGACACCCGGTCAAATTTGTCCGAGAGAGTGGACCGAAATTGTATTTCTACCCAAATACCCTTAACAAAAAGTCATTTTCACTCCTTTATTCTCCCTTCTTATGCATATGATTAACACATATGATTGCATACATAAACATACACAAAATACTCTTGACCAATTTTCGTTTATGAAATTAACATTAAATTTTATCAATTTAAAATTTAATTTTATCAAATTAACTCCAAATTTACCTTCACTTTCATCAAAATTAATATTCAACTCTATCAAATGACCTTTCAATTTCATCAATTACATATTTAGCTGTATCAAATTAACATCTAATTTTATCTAATTACCATTTAAATTTATCAATTGAGGGTCTTCCCTGCCACATCAGGTTGCCACCTATTCCTCAATTTGTCACATTTCTGCTAGTGCTAGTACCTAGTAGTGAGTCCACGTGTCCAGATTTTATGGGTTACTATGAAGTGTATATAATATTCTTGCCATAGAGAAATTGTTTGCAATATTCAAACCAACTTGAATGACAGAGAATCTTCATTTGAAAAAATCTGGTGGCTTTCCATTGAAGATTTCAAAGATCAGCCATTGGAAATGATACTAGGTGATTGTGTTAAAGTTACCCAGAATTACAGCCTAAAGTTAGGCAGGAAAGTGAAGCTATTGTGTTGATGCCTTGATGGATGCTCTTTCAGCAATTGAGGCCAACTATAGGTGGTTATATCTCCAAAAACAAAGATGGGGATACATATCCTAGACTAAATGAGAGTCGGTTCTGCAATAGATGCTGTGATCCAAACTCTCCAAAAATGCCTTAGGAAAGTTTCCCCTTCAAACATCAAGATCAAAACATATTTTGCTTTAACCCATTAGGAGGTCATTGACTAGACTCAGTGTATAGTCCCAAGGCTCGTGGTGGGATTCGTCATTCTAAACGAAGGATCGGACTTCCTCAAAGGATGAAGAAAATAAAAGGTTCCCAGATCACCCCACAAGAAAGCAATTTTAATTGATAGAAACTCCTCATACGTTAACAAGGTGTGATTTTTTTTTTTATGGCCTAATATTGCTTTATTGACGTCATACAGGGTTGTGCTTGCTCTTGATGTATTTATTCTCTTGGAAGGATTCTTCGCTGTGTTCATATTTTTTTGTGTACTCTTACTGTATTCTTTTCTAAAAAGTGCCACACATAAAAAAAGGTATATGTGGGCATACCTGCATTCCGACATAAAATACAAGGGAATTGATCAGGGGTACATTATACCGGGTCCCAGCCCGGGCAGCATCACTTGGTGGAAGCAGCATTTTTTGCTTCAATTCAGTTAGAAATGAAGAACCTTGCTGCCTTGTCTGCAGAAAGTAACAAGACACAGAAAAAACTAATGAGCAGGTGTACAAAGTACAGAACAAGTAAATCCAGATTAAATATGTCTGCATGCGTGACCATGTACCAAAAATTGTCTTTTCTTCTTACTCATTTTATCACCTTGGCTTTTCTTGTTTCTTGTTGGGGGGAGAGGGGGGGGGGGGTTATCTTATCATAGTCAAATATGAATACTGAGTGACCACAATCCAGATACCTGCAGATATTCATCTACATCACTCTTAATCTGCTTTGCTTTAAGAGCTGCATCAACGTCAGAAAGAATGTGTGGGGATTGACTAAACTCAGCTAGCACATCAATCTAAAGCAAAAAGAAACATTTCTTTCTGAGATTAGTTGTATCTGGCACAGAGTCACAGGTAGTAATTGACGAATCACACACCTTTAAGTTCAGGGTGGATGGATCTGGTAGCCTCATATTGCGGGGAAAAGCACTGAGGATTATATTTCGCATTTGTATACAGCTTGGAGGAATGACATCACAGAAGCTGAAATGATAATCACAAAGGAACTCTGGGAAATCATGAAGTAGCACTAACAACACCCTTAGTGTGCCTTTATACAGAAAATGAACCTGGATACAGACACAAAGAAAAAGAAAAGTGAGGTACCATCAGCTGTAGCTAACCACGAAGACAAAGATTAAGAATGCCCACCAAATAAAAGATGCATACCGGCTCCCCTAGCTCAGCATTCCTCAAAAATGGTTCCATAAACTGGAACAAGTCTACCAGCAGACGTTGAAACCAGGGCCACCCCTTTTGATGGTTTACTGTGAGCAATTTTGGCATGAAACTTTGGTGACTCACCAGCTCAAGCCATGCAAAACTGAAGAAAAACCTACCAAGTCAGTAATGCACAATGTGTTTCTAACTTGTTAGAAAAAAGCCAGGCGGATGTTAAACCTCATTTCCCCAAAAAAAAATCTCCCCAGCTCAGATCTTTAATACTGCAGAAATGATGGGCAACCAATTGTTTCTGATTGGACTCTTTGATGCTTGAATACTTTACACAAAGAATAGGAGTTTCCAAGTTTTGTTATTGTTAAACAACCATCTACTCCAAAAGCTTATGCTGTTGGAGAGGATGTAACTCAAGTATTTATACTTCAACATGCCCCCTCACATGCTGACTAAATTTTAGGCATAGCACATGGAAACTTTTTTAATAATTAAGATGGCAACGACATTCGAACAATGGATGATACTATGTTAAACAACCCTCTACTCCAAAAGTTTAGGCTGTTGGATAGGGTGTAACTTAAATATTTATACTTCAACAATTATCAAAAGGATTAGGAAAAACAATTTTCATCAGCGTGCTGATTTGAAAACCAATATCAGATCACTGAGTTGAAGAAGTATGTGTAATAGCAAATTTTGCACAGGTAGCCTTGCAGAATCATCTTCCAATTCATGAAAGAAAAGCAGCACCTCTAGCATTGCTGCTAAATATGGGCAAGGTCAATAGTTATTCCAACCAATATTCAATTGTGGATTAAAAAATATGTAATGATGCATCCCACGTAGCAATGAAGCATTTTTATCATACTGACCTGAATCCAGGAACTTTAAGGGGCTGTAAGGTATGAAATGCATTGGCTAAAGATGTCAGAACCTAAACATAGTTATAATTAGTAACTGACTAAATAAAACAAGGACAACGTAAATGCGTATCCCCATACCTGGAAGCTTGTACCATCAAACACATGATCCAGGGAAATCAAGTCCAACAGCCAGTTAATGAATAATCTGAAATACGGCCTTGGATTAAAAGATGCTTTCTTCTCCTCGGCATCTCTCTGAATAAATTTCAGAGTCACTGCCAAAACCTGTAGTAAAACCGTGTCCATCATCAATACAGGAAAATGACAGTTTCCAGACAACAAACCAGCAAATTAAAGAACTTTTCAATTGGGGCTAAAACCTTGTGCAGAAGAGACAGTTTACTTGATCCTTGGTCTGCATGACAAAACTGGAAAATTTTAAGAGTAGAGTCAAGACAATGAAATACATTGTAAGAATCCACGGAAACCAATAACATAGTCTAGAGGCAAAAACATATACCTTCACAATGGAGAAGACAAGTTTCGCATAAATATCAATAGCAAGGAAAGATAGTGGCTGTACTTGGTGGTGCAATTGGAGAGGGCTGGAACTAATCACCTCGGAAGAAAGGCAATGTGATACAGAAAGTTCCTGAAACAAAAAGTATGAGGTGAATTTGAATCTCTTTCTTCGTCAATTTTTTGACCGCTATCAGGTAAATTGGAAATCACATCAACGCAAAAAACACCAGAGGAGAAAAGCCACCATGAGATGGCTGAAAAAGCGATCTGACATATCATCCCCTTTCAGCAGTCCACTCCGCTGCAACTTTATGACATAGTGGCCGCAAGCTGCATCATTTGTGCCAGGAATTTCACATATCCGATACCATTCGGCAAACAGCATGGGAGCCTACAAAAAGCAATTGATGCAAGGACACAAAAATTTTACTTAGAATTGCAGAAGATTTAGTGGATTCTCCAGTTGATTACTATACAAAATTGGTAAACCATCCCTGAACCTGTTTCCCCAAAAAAAATAAGAGAAAAGAAAAAGAAAAAATAAATGAAGACAAGAATATATAGTTTGAGAGGAAATGCTATGGAGGATGAATTACTTACCAAGGTTTTATATGTTCTCCTCAATAGGTCTAAGATGGTCTCACCAGTAAAAGTTTTACAGTTCCAAATGTTGAAGCTATTACCCTAGACTACCAGTAGAAAATTGAAGTCCAGAAATCTATGTGTATGTGCTGTTTAAGGCAATAAATACTTGCGATTTAGAGATCCAGATTTTCTAGTACGGATAATGCTACGAATCAAGGTCGGTGCATGCTAAGGAATAAAGGTGAATATCCTGCAACCTTTAACAATTGTTCCACTTCGAGTTTAGTCTAGTACTTTCTCTTCCACTCATTGTTTAATTTCCATAAATAGGTTTTGATACCTCTTCAAAACCAACATTGGTTTCGTCAGTTCTGCATCCCAAAACTCCAGATCTCTTACATCCTTTTCAGTATCCTTTCAGCCTTCATTTTAGGACCCAATATTTATCTAGTTGGGGTATCACAATTCCACAAACTCTTCTGCCATTCAACATAGATCACCTTCAATACCAAGCAATTCTTCATGTCAATCCAAAAGCCCACAAACTTTCTCCAACAAAGTCTTCATACAGAAAAGATCATTCTTTGAGATAAACCTTTCTGGAAATGATGAAAGGGAAAAGGTCCTACCTTTTAGGTCACCAAACTAGGAGTTTTTTTTTTTTTCAAGTTCAAAACAAGTTGTCAGTCACTTGATATTCATTCATTGCAGCCAAAAGATAGAGAAATAAAAGGGGGCAGCGAGAGTGGAAGCATGAGTTGTAACTTAGCAACAACACATTAGCGCTTCCTATTCTCGGTCCAAGTCATACTATCATCTCTATATTAATCACTTCTTTATGGCAAAATTAATTATCTACAACTGGTCCTGTATATGTAAACAGAGAGGACTTCATAGTTAGTAGTTTCTCCTATAATGGAACGTAAGTGGAAGTCCTAAAAATGGGATCCACATTGGCAAGTTTGGACACATCACTGCCAACCAAATTGCTTTAAGAAGACATCAGGCATAAGGACACTGGGACTTCAGAGCCGGCCAAAAGCATTACCTAAAACCTTCGTGGTTTGCTTCAGTTGACACTGCCAAGCACATATAACACACACATGGTGTCAAGTGTAAACCAGAGAACAAGTAGAACCAACTTAACTTTCGAGGTAGTGCCAGTGAGCAGCACCAAATTAAATTTAAAGCTAGTGTCAGCTACACAACACTGTTCTTGTCCAGTCTCAAGTTCCCTAATAAGTACCAATACGAAACAAATTCGGACTACAGCTTTAGAATCATGAATGGTATCAAGAAGAATAAGGTTTAAGTGGAACCTGCTCACAAAAACCAGCAGGATCTGGTTCAAACGAATCTGCAACATTGTAGTCTTCACGGCTTGGTAGAGACTGCCCAGTTGCCTATTCCAGCAGAGATTGAATTGTTAGGATCCACAGAACTCACTAAGGCACCTAATCAAGGATAGAATAGTGGCAATTCTGCTAACCTTCTCGTTTCTAGATTGAGCATTAGTATCCTTCTTGCCAACAGTTATGCTAGACAGAGCAGTGGCACCAGCAGTAGGGTTCCTGGCAATCTCAACCAGCTGTTGTAATGACTCAGGAGAACCAGGTCTTGCTGCAAGCTGCATGTCAAAAATCATTCAGAGACCAGAGTGGTAAGAGTAAGTGCACTTTCTCACACAATATGAATTAGAATAAACCTTTGCCAGTGCATCAACAAGATTGTGAAGCTCCAATATGGCCCTAGAATCGTTAATCACCAAGGATTGTATGAGGGATATGGAAAATTCAGTAGCCGCTTCTGCACAATATTTGCAACCAGTTAGTTGAGCCAATTCTTCTACTGTTACTTTCTAAAATCAGGTGCTGATCGTACATACTATTCCTTCCCGCATCAAGAAGCTTTGTCATGTGAACATTATACTCCGCAAGGTTCAGCAATTCACTGCGAATAAGGCCAACAGTGATATCTTTGTCAAACTTCTGACCTTCATCAGAGTAAATCACCTGTTAAAAGAGATTGCAACATATTACAAGCTGATTTGTTACGCTGAGCACCGCAACATCTTAATTCAAAAAAGGTCATATCTCAACAATCCAAACAAATCTAAACTACTAACATTTCTATCTAGAACCTGATGAAGATTTACCTTTCATCGAAGACACAAAAGTCCAATGATAGTAAATGAACTTTCCTAAAATGGCATCATTTCAAAATGCTGTACAAAGAGGATATTTAAAATACATTAATCACAGCCAACAACATTTTCTTTTGTACACATGTATGGACATACGCTTTGGCAATGTCCAATAGAAAAACCCATTAGTGACACGTTAATCCAAAAATTCTAACCAAAATTTATATCTAAAAGATAATGCCATAATGCTAGGAGAACTAAGGGGAACTTACAGGCTATAAATTATGCCTCCTTTCAAAACTAGAACAGAATTCTTTCACTTGAGACATTATGGATACAATGGTCCCTCCTCCCAACCGTCTTTTAAGCATTGTTTGAATCAGTGCAAACTTCTCGTCATGGACATCTACTAACTAAAGAATGGAAGTTATTGCTGATTTAAGAGGGTTTCCAATGGTTTGAATTAAGCCATAAAGGCCCAGAAGTAGCAAGATCAGATCAAAGTGGATGGAAATGAGAAATGAAACCGTATGTCCTTTTCAATCTTCACAATATAACTTACCAATCCCCTCCTCTTAACAAGACATCATGTCCTCATGAGCAATATTCAAAAGATACTTTATAATATTTTCGCCTCAAGTTTGATAAGTACAACAGAACTTCAGACACCAGCTGTACACATGGTCCTGGTTTGACCTGCTAATCGAATGATTATGGCATATATCTGAAAGCTTGTTTCACATAGGGCAACCTACCAAAAGCCACAGCCCTTTTTGCTACATTTTTTTTGTGAGAGAGCAAGCAATGTGGATAGGTGCCACGCAAAAAAGTATCATATCCAAAATCTAAATACCTGACAATCCATCTCTACAAGAGACTGTTATATCACCACCATCAAAGATTCCATCCCCATTGACCAATACAGATAGGTAAGGATGGAGAACGTATGATAAACTGATATTGTTTACATTGTGCATAAAAGTTCAAAAAAAAAAAGGTCCATTTAAGAAAGTCATGGATGCATATGACCCTGGTTTAACCTTCCAATTAAGTGACTAATGCAATCCAGCGGAGTGACCAAAACGAACAAGAAGAGGAGATAGGTCTGCGCGCAATAGCAGCTTTGCTTAATATGGTAAAGAGATCAAACCATATAAAGACCTATTAAAAAGAAAAGTAGATCATCTTGGGACTCTCCTATTCCTTTGAGAAGCTAATCATATATCTGATTTTCCAATGATAGAACAAGAGAACACAGAGGTTGTTTTACACTGGGATGCACTCCCATCATCTAGATAATGATTAGCACTTTTTTAAGAAAATTGGTTCAAACAAGTTATTTTTCTTTTTGGGTTTTTTTTTTGGTTTGGGGGGGGGGGGGGGTTGTTTCAGACAAATTGGTTCGATAATCTGCCAAAAAGAATGACTTTAAAAGACAATCAAGATATGGCCTTTTCCCCAGTTCTAATGTTTTAAGTCCCAAAGAAGACAATCCAGTTGAGCTGAGCTTGTAAGGGAATATCCGTCAATGAATCCTTCCTTTACTAAATACTAAAAACTCTTGACAAATATTTAACCCCACTTCAATCCTGAATTCTCAAAGATACTAAAAATTGGCAAGAAAAACATCATGCTGATTTGACTGAAGTAAAAAAAATCAAAAAAAATTAATAGTGAGGTTTGAAAAAATGAAAATTATCAATTCTATTTTCAGAAAGACAGAAGCTACTATAGAAGGCTTCCAATAAAAAAGAGTAATACTAGTTAACTCATTCCAAAAGTGTTTCTCAGAAATTCTACCACACATATTTCTCATTTCATTTCTTAGATTTTCAAGATCACTTGCAACATATCTAGAAATGATTGAATAATCTCAAAAAAAATTAAGAAAATTTTAAGAGGAGCATAGAAAAAGTAAAACATCATGACACCATCAGAAACAATCATGGCTATAATACTAGTTGATTTTACATATAAGAGGTTCCTATTACATGTTAGGACAATTCAGTAGAAGATCCCATAGATTTCTAGCCGCAGACACTATAATTAAAATGATACAGAAAGCTCAGCTAAGTAACGAATTAGCATCCCAAATTTTTGGAGGGATGGGTTGAATAATTGCTGGATGAATTGCCAACGCCATTACATAGAGTAGTTGAAAATTCAAAGCAATATCATGTCTCACTTCCACAAAAGAAAAGGAATACGTAGCATTATTAAACAGAAAAATCCACCCTAGCCTCCTAGGCCACATTAAGAATTAAGTCACCGAAAGCATACCCAACTAGTCAGCTCCTTGACAACAAGCTTGCTAACATCACGAATTGCAGCCAGAATTGCAAGATGTGCACCAACATGCGCACCGTTTGTCCCATTTTCATATAAACCCTTGAAAACCTGTGACAGAGTCAGAACTCAAATCAAAAGACAGCAAATCAATCTGGATTTAGAACAATCCCCAGAAGAAAACAAACTTTTTGAGCCACAGCCAGGGCAGCCTCGTCTCGACTTAAACATCTGAGAATAATTTCAGGGACTTCAGCAATAACTCCCTGGACAAAAAGATAACTATGCGACATGTAACACAAATCAGAAGGAAATTCTGAGTGACAATTCACACCAAGAACAATTTCAAGGAAAAAATTATACCACAAAAGATATGAAATCAGAATTAGCAAAAACATATTTGAAATTGAATAAACATCTTATCTAACAACAGAAGGAAAGAAATCACACCTGAATTTCAGCCTCTTTCGCTTCATTCGCCAGCAGAGTTTTAAGCTGAAATAATTTTCAGAAAAGGAAATATCGGGTGATCTCCATTAACTTTGAAGCAAAAGCAGGAAAATTGTAGGTGTGAGACAGAAAGAAACTCAAATGACTAGTGAGGAGAAAATAGTTCAAAAAACAAATAGAAGTAGGGTAGGAGGAGAAGAGGTAAAGGAAGAAGAACTTTATGGAAACCTTCTCTGAAATAATCTGGTAATTATCCAATGCATCGCCTGTGGTCAACGAAGGTTCTGAAATATTACTTCCAAGGCACTCAGAAGCCAAGGATGGAGGCAATGGTTGCACAGAAACTCCAGCATCCTTTCAGCGGAAGTATAAAAAAATTATAGAATCAAAAGAATAAGTATATACCTGGATCAAAATGTATATGAAGACAGACACACAAAATTTCACTTACTTTGAATACATTAGATAGTTCCACTGAAGGCAATTCAGTGGATGACGCCAAAGGGAATGAAGTCGTATCACATTCAAAATTGTGCAGACTAACACTATCACCAATCCCAAAATGAGAAGCGGAAACACTAAAAAGGTGAAAACAACCAATCAGACACTATTCTCTTAATGAAATAACTAATTCATGAAATCAAGAACTAAATATAATGAAAACACACCTATGAAGCTGAGCTTTAGTAGATTCCAAATCTTCAGAGACAAGATCCAAGGGCTGTGCAACATCACCCAAACCTTCATTTCCAAGGCCAGATGAGCAGATGCCAGGATTTAGCTGTCCAGATGCTGAACCATATGCTCTGGATGAGCCACCAGCGGTGGAAGAAGATGCACCAACGGGCACAGCATTTGAGCTCTGATTTGATAGGTTTTGCCATGGTAACCGGACAAAATCCTGGAGAAAAGGAAATTATTGAAAAGAATTGCAGACTATATCATCCTAATTGCCATTGATCATAAAAACTAGAAAGAAGGTCAGGAGGGCCATACCTCATAAACCCTCTGTTGAGACTGGGATATGCAGCCAGGTTTAGTACGGAGAGCATCCGGTAAAATACCCATGTGACCTTGAATATATGGGCTGCCATCGAAAAATGTGGGCCCAACACCTTCCATGTGCTTACTTCTTATAGAAAGTTGTTGAGTTATTTCCCCATCAATGGTCTGAATTGCCTATCCTCAGCAACACGCACCACACACAAGAATTCCCAAAAACAAAAGGCAGAAAAAGTCAGCTTAGACTGCTGCAAGGAAAATAAGCCGAGCCAGTTCAATAAATTAATGAAAAGATATATATGTAGTTTGAAATGAATTACAGTAACAACCTTTGTCACAAAGATCAAGCACCAAAAACAGTACATCGATACATAGAGATACAAATACAATCGTCGTCAATAAAGAATCTAGCTTGCGAACCTTCTCTGTTGCAGCTTTTTCAATTAGCGCACAGCCCAGATCAAGGTTGTCATTAATAACGAGTTGAACAGCTTGTTCAAGGAGTTCAGTTGCAATATTCAAACCCTGAAGCAAATTCCTGAGCTGACTTGATATTGAACCACGCAGAGGTTCCTAGCAGTGAAAACAGAACCGCCATCAAACACCGAGTAAAGAGCAAGGCATTACAAACCTAATATTGACCGTAGAATATATCAAAAAGGTAAACGAACACAAAGAAGATTCAGATCTAGATGAAACCTTGCATGTCACATGAGCTAGACTTCCAGCCAAACTCGCAACCATCAAGTGTGCTGCATTACGTATGCGGGTCTCATCTGACTCCATGGCGTAGTCCTATACTTCCATTTTTCAAATTACAAAAGCAATCAAATGAAAATTGTAAAAAAAATATCATGTACCATGAGTAAAAGAAACAAAACAATAAACACCTTGCAAACAAGCTCCTTTGTTGTTTGAGTTGCTATAGAGACACTGCATTGCACAATACTAGACACTATCTCTTTAATAGCTCTATTGATTGTGATTGGAAGCACACTGAAACAAACAAATACAACTAAGTAGTACTCGTTCCTACACATTGAGCAGTTTACTTGGAGTTTAACAGCTTCAAACCTCTGAAAATGCAAGTACAGGCCTAAAGCATGGAGCTTTGGGTTGACGACAACTTGATGTTCAATATTTGATGCTGGTACAGGAAGCTGCAAACACAACCAGAGCCTTACTATGGTAGTCAAGCAAAAATCTATCCAACAAAAAGAGAAAACAACTGAACTCACCTGACTAACAGAAAATGGTGATTGTGCTTGTAAAAATCCTTGGGCAGAAGGAAGCTGATCAGATAATCCTAATGCTGCCAGCTTCACATCCTCCATTAATGTTCCAGAAGAAAGATGTAGAGGAGCTCCATACTAAACTCACCAAATAAATCAACTTCAAAATTGCAAAAATGAGATAAACAGCTAGCAGCAAATTAAAATCATAAAAGGAAAATGAACCTGAGATAATACACGCGAATGACCCCCAGGATGAGATGGACCAGCTCCTTCTACTGGTAGCTCAACTTGATTCAGTGCAGATATAATACCAGATTTAACTTCACCAACCATCTGTGTTTGAGATGATTCATCATCTTTCTGCCAGAAATCCGGATTTCCTTCAACCACCCTCACCGTGTCCTTGAGAAGACAAGTCGGAGTTACGCCCTTCATATCCACACCAATAGTCCTAAAAAGCAACTGAATGGCCAAACAAGAAAGTAATTAATCGAAGAGATACTCCCAAAATTCAGAGACACTCTTTGAAGTATGCACATAATACTCCCAAAATTCAGACACTCCTTACAAGTATGCAGATAAATCCATTTACCTCAATTTCATACTTGAGGCACATTTTCAAATTTGGTATTACATAAATCTCAACAAGTAATCCAAGAATACCCATGGTCCAAGGATTAGGAGGTTGATATGCTAGACTGCAATGGCATGACTCCAATACCTGCAGCGAGACAGTATAAATACCATAGAAAACCGCACATACAGAGTATGAATCAATCATTAGAATGCATATACCTTGGAGATAAATGGAATTACAGCAATCATGAAACCCTTTTCATATGCCTGTCAAAGGGATTCATATTAATAGACCAAGAAATTTGTTTACCATTTCTGAAGTGACAAATAGGACAATATATGTAAGCACATCTCCCAAAGTACTGAATAGACAAAAGAAAAACCTCTATGATCAAAGATTTGGGATCAATCTCTTGCGCCCGTAAAACTTGATTCTTGCTAATTGTAATTTTCCCGAGCCAGGTACCTAGATTCTTCAACAACGAACGCTCTTCCGAACTGGACTTTGTAAGCTCAGATCCTAAAAGTACCTGAAAGGAAAGGAAAGAGTACATTGATAGTTAATGTAAGTTTCCATTGCCGCTACATTTATAGACATAACTAGTGAAGAGGGGATGAACCTTGCAATTCTCATAAGTGGCCTGGAGAATCTCTTTGTTCAAAGGCTTTGAATTAACTTTATCCATGAAGTTCACGTACAAGTCATGGAAATTATACTCGATGCTTGCTCTTTTTAGATGGTAGGTAATTCATGAAACAGTGGGCCCAAACGTAAGATGAAAAAAGAAAGAGAAAGCAGCTAGATCAACTAGTTAACAAGAGACAGTCCAACATCAATGTATTATATCTGAACGGATCTCTCTTTCACACACACACACACATTGTGCTTGTGCATCCGTATATAAAATGGATAAAACATTAAGTGATTTGTGTATCTTCTCACCTTTTCATGACCATATACTGCGCAAACCAAGGATAGTACTGCTCTTTTAGAATTTCAGTAAATTCTTTTGCTTTAGCTTCAATATTTGTAGCAGATAAGTTATTAATAATAAATGATAACTTGTCCTGAATTTCTGATGCTGGAGCCTGTAGCAACGACACAAAAATACTATCAAACAACTAACAACCAAACAGATCTTTAACATGCAAGTATCAGATGCCCAAACATTATGTAAGAAATGTGTTTGGATAAATGTACCTCTACGGGGTTTTCTCTTCTCTCCGCAGCTGCAATGAGTGTTTCAATGTTTAAAGCAGCTCCAAATCCTGTATTATTAGGTGGATGTTATCTAAGCATGCTATGAGAAGCCACCCATTAACTAAAAGAAATAGTAGTTTCATACATATAGAACTACCAACATTAATTATAGAATCTATATATATACTAGTCATAACCCGTGCCTAAAGGGTAGTTAAAGGAATCAATGAGGCGAATTGAGCTAGGTTGCACTAGAAAATTGGATAACGGGCTTGACAATATAGGGCAGCCCCAGTTCCTGTATTGGAGGAAGCACATGGCATGGAAAGCATGGGTTGTAGGACAGCCAATCACAATGGAACATAAAATTCGAACACCCAAAAAAATGATCCCACTATATTAAATAACAATTTTTTTTCCTTCATTTTTTTGATTACATCATTTAAAATTTACTTTTACCCATTATTTTTTTTAAATATCGACAAAATTTTCTCCGCATGTGTATACTATCATATATGGATAATGTATAAAATAAAAATTATGTTAAACTACAAATTAATCAAATTTTAAATAATTAAACATGTGATAAAAATGGATGAAGTGATGTTTTTAGGGGGGAAAATATTTGTGTATTATTATTAACATATCTGTATTACAATACAATCCACAGGAAAAATTAACAGAAAATTACTTGCTGAGGCAATTGCTCGGGATGCACGAGTAAAACCAGGAGAGGAAGATGGCACTGCTGGACCACTAGGTAAACTCTGAGACTGCATTGTACCAAGGATAAAAGGAGAAGTAATGACCAAAAAAACACTTTAAATGGTAATGGTGCAGCGGATGATATCCAATGCAAAACCAGTGAAAAATAAATAGAATGCATGCCTTCTGAATGATAACTGCACCACTTGGAGAAACAGCAGAAGGTCGCCCAGCAGGTGGTAAAACCGGCTTCACATAGTTAGGAGAAGTTACAGAGGTTTCATGCCTCTCATCCAAAGCATTTTGATGTTTTTGTTGAAGCTGGATTGGAGAAGAAAGTTGTGACCCTGGATGTGAACCACCAGATCCAATTGATGGGAATGATGAAGCCGACATCTAAACAAAAGAAAATAACTGTTAAGAGTATAATTCTTACTCCAACTGGTGATCATGGAAAACCAGCCACAAAAACACCAAAATAAGTTAATTACTAAGGAACCACAATCAAGGCATAATGCCAGATCATCCTTACTTCTTTTCTTCTTCTTTTAAGTAGGATATTTTTACTAGAGACCTGCAAGAGTGGAATGGTTGAGAAGCATAAAAGATTGATTATTAAATTGTTTTTGCACCATTGATATATTAACTAAAGATTAAGAAAACGAGAGGTAGAGGGAAAAAAAAGAAAAAAGTCAGAAGTGCCAGATGGTTAGTCATTTTTATTTAATGGATTTATATCATTATAATTGTCACACATTAATTATTGTTACTTAAATTGCTTTTCCACCCTTGATTATTGAGGACAAGGAGGATCCTTTGGAAGACATCTGGGATAAAATATCTTTCATGGCATCTATCTACATTCAAGGAATATGAAAGAATTCTTTTATTTTTAATTAAAGAATATTTGACTCAACTGTGTGAATTGTGATGCCACACGACTACCTCATTTCTTTACCTTGTATCTTTCTAAATTTTTAATTTGTTTGGGATTTCTTTTCTTTTTTCCTCCTTGTTGTATCTATCAAGGACTCATTGTCCTCTCTTGCAATCCTTTATTTTCACATTTATTACATATCGTCATTTACTATCAAAAAAAAAATCAATAATTAAATTTATCAACTAAAAATTGAATTCAGTAAGGATCATTAGTAAAAAGGGGAAAAAATATGCATTAAGAAAACAAACACCTAGTAGGCCCCACACTTCATCCAAAAAAAAGAGAATCGTGTTAAGCTAAAAAGCAAATAATCAAGTCTAATTAGAATGGCTTCAAATTTGAATGGTAACATGATGTTTGAATGCTTGAATCCGTCAAAATGTCAAAACGAATGAAATTAGGTCACAAAAGTTACGGACTTAACTACAAAAAGTCATGCATAATTCGTGAACAAATGGCATGCATAAACTTTTCAAACTTCCCCTATTCAAGAGTCTGCATATCTAATACATTAAGCTAAGCAAACATGATCTGAATACATCTCAACGCTGAAAGATGGCAACAAGCCATACAAGATTATAATCATGCCCCATTTATATTTTGACACATTTGGAAAGAAAAAAGAGTAAATTACATCCACCTCACAAAGGTTTGTCCAAATAACAACTAGACCCCTTCACATGTGACATATAAGATTATTTTGGTTGTCCGTAATAGATTCCACCAACCATTAGTGCTCCATTAAGAAACCATAAAGGGTGTGTTGACATAAGCAATTTATATTTCAAAATATAAATATTGTTCTTCTAGGACCCACTGACATTTGAACATGTTAGCACAGTCACTAAACCCTAACGCCACCTGATACCTCTCACCTCCCACCCCATCCTTGCAATCACAACCACCATAAGTGTCTCTTACATCCAAGGATCAAAATTTCGTTTCGAAGTACCGTTTCGGTCAACTCAAAAATAGAAACGTTTCGGAAACATTTCGGAAACGCAATGGAAACGCAGAAAAAATATGGAAACGCATAGAAACACAAATGCAATCCATTAATTTATAAAGATATGCTAAATAATTTATTAATTAAACATATTTATTAGGTTAACATCAATTTATACAAGAATAAATTTAAATTTGAGGGAAAAAAAGGCTTGACTTGAGGCGAAAGTCACTTAAATTAGTTTCAAACACTTAATTTTTATGAAATAAACACATTTTTACATAATATTAAGGTCTTATAATACACATGAAATGCTAATGAGTACATACTTACATGGTTACATCCATTCCCCTGTGGAGTGTCGAGCAGGCTCATACATCGGTGTAGGCTCTGGGTAGCTACTTAGAGAAACTCCATATGTGACATAAATATGATGACAATAGTTACTCCAAATCATATTATTACGGTAATATAATCCAATTAATAATACTATTTTATTATAATACTAATAATGAAGGGTATCAAATTAAATTAATGATACTTATGTATACTTAAAAATTAAATGTAATTACAGTGGGTATTAAATGTAATTACATTAGGTATTAAATATAATTACATTAGGGTATTAAATGTAATTGTTAATACTTATAACAAAAAAAAAAAGCAAAAAACTTGCACAGCAGTGAGGTATTAAATATAATTATAGTATGTATTAAATATAATTATAATGGGTATTAAATATAATTATAGTAGGGTATTAAGTGTAATTATTTATTCTTATAACAAAAAAATTATAAAAGACAGAAGAGCAGTGGGAATTAAATGTAATTATAGTGGGATATTAAATATAATTATAGTGAGTATTAAATGTAATTACAGTGGGTATTAAATGTAATTATAATGAGGTATTAAATATAATTATTCATAATGAACCGAATATATCACTGTTTTGTCGAAACGGTTCGAAACAATGCCGTTTCGACCGAAACGGTCCGAAACAGTACCGTTTCGACCGAAACACTGGAATTTTGTGATTCAACTACTGTTTCGTTTCGGAGTGTTGAAATTCCGAAACGTTTCGGACGTGTCGACACGATATTTTGATCCTTGCTTACATCACCACCCCCTCTATAGGCCCGACCTTCATTATTCTCCGCATCACCTCCTCCCGAACAACTCTATTCATCACCATTACTGGCAAAGCCTAATTCTGAAGTTTCAGACGATACATAGCAGAAAATTTGAGAGTGCCTAGAATTTTAAATCCTGAGACAGGTTTTTGGGTGATCAAAGAGGCGCACAGTATTTATCAACAATAGTGGCTTTGGAAGGGAAATTTTTTGGGACAGAATATTCTTAGTAGAAGTAAGAGTCAGAATAAGGAGGGGAGTGAAGCGAGTCGAATTGACTAGTTTATGACTTGGTGCCACACATTGATCTAACACTAATGTGGGAAGTGGAGTGAATGTTGACATTGGTGGTGATAGCTCATCTCTTTCTGTCTTTGTGCAGCCTGGAGTGCAGCAAATAAATTAACAGCATAATTAATGAATAAATTATGAAATGAGTTATATATTGGTGCCAAATTAAAATAGAATCTGGGTAAACCTTACGGTACTTATAAAATTGATATGAATTTGGAGAACAATTTTGGCTTAATTAATTGAATTGATTATATTTGATCAGAATTTGAGATGACTTTGACTTAATTAACAAAACCAATTAGATGAATTTCAGGACAAAGTTAAGTTAGCCAAATTGATTAAATTTGATCAGAATTTGGAGATACATTTGATTTACTTAACTAGTCAATTAGATTTGTTCTGTGTCTTTGGGACAAAATTAACTTCATGAACGGAGTTAATGAGATATTAAACTATCTTTTATTTTGTGAAAATATTTTTTTCTGTGATTTACAATGGGGCATTGTGTGACTGGATGTAGCAAAACCTACTAATCACATTCACTTTTAGACAAACCTATTAGCCAAGCATTATCTTCTATCACATGTCAAAAGATAATAAAATGTATTAATTACACTATATCTCATTGGCAATAAGAAGTTATAAGCAAACTAACTAGTTAAGGCGTAGTTCTAATTTCTTTAATAGTCATGTTCACATTTGAATATACTATAATGAGAAAATCAACACTTTTTTGAATGTAGAAGTTACTAACTTTATTTATTATTGCTCAAGAATTTATTACAAAACCTAATTATCATGTTGTGAGAAAGTAGTAAAACTATGAAATACATTTTAAACGTAACTTTGGGCTATCTGTATTCTAATTTTCAGGTTTCACTTTATCGTTGTATTCATATCGTATCATACCCAAATCCCGTATCTGTTTCTAAGCTTCCTAGGACAAAACTATCTAAGTTCAACAAGAGGATCTTTTACATTGAGGGCATTCCAATCATTTAGTTTTCCTGATTGACGATGAAACAGATGTCATTGACGTGTTGAGTGGGTCTGATTTTTATTTGGACAAACCTCATGGGATGTGCATTTAATTTAACCCCAAAAAAAATTAGCTTGGCAAAATTTTATCAGATTCAAAATTTTCATGAGATCTTCAAATCCAGTTCTCCACATTGTCGGGTAGAGTTTGAAACGCACAGCAGGGATTAGGAAACCAAATTTCATTACTCACCTCCACATTTGCCACAGCAGCCAGGACAGAACCATGATGTTGATCAGCAACAGCAGTATGACCTAAATCTGATTCTGAATATCCTGAAGAAATCCTAGCAAGTGCCCTTTCAATGAGTGCAACAAGCTCTGAATGAGTGCCACGCAGATGAGATATTTGCAAGATATGATTGCAGTACTGTGGCCACTCAATCAGGCGATCCACAAACTGTTCCAGAGCCTTTGTCCCAAAAGCAAACATCTACACACAAACTTGGATCAGTGACATCAAAAAACAGGTCAATAATGGAAAATACGCCCTCACGAGAATATATAAACCTTTGAATCTGCAGGTTTACGCAATGCATCCAAAACAGCTCGCAAGGCAATCCCAAGTGTGAGATGATTTACAAGCTGATGCTTAATAAGGGAACCTACCATCAAAGTTCAAAACATGGCATAAATACACTTGCATATACACAAAAATCAACCAAGAAAACAATAGATGCAACCATGTGACCTGTCTCCCCAGGAAACTAACTGTGGGTTGGCCAGAGGGGAGGGTCAAACCAATTATGCAGCATGCTCAAGCAGCTAATAAGCCCAATACGTATAGAGAAAGAGAAGGCATTTCTTTGCTCAAGACGAGATGAAAATGAATAAAATGGCAACAAAATTACATAAAGCGTCAAGTTTTAGGTGGAGGGATACACGTGAACATAAACAATCACAGTTTGTTTGGTCAGGAATTTGTTCCCAGAATGTTTCAGAGAAAAAATAGACCTGAAAAAGACTGCTAGGAATTTAGACTCTAGGCGTGAAAACTAGTGCAGAGATAAAAATAAAAAAGACACAAGGTTGACCATAGACTCAATAGGGACAAAAGTACAAAGCCGCCATTCCTTCCACGCAACATAACAGCAGCACAATAGAGGAAGTAACCAATAATAATTGTTCAGATTCACTCATCCGTATACAAGGCAACCAGGAACAGAATATCTGTCTACACTACAAAAACTAAATAAAGATTGTGCAAATAACCTGACAACGAAGCGTTCAGCATGAACATATAAGATTGAAACAACAACTGGACTATGCCTGAGTAGCTTATAATCTCAAGCTCAAAAGAACTACAAAAAATGAAGGATATTTGAAAAAGAAAATTGCTACTAATTAGGATTATAAAATGTAATTTTTACAGAAACTCACCAAAGAGAACTGCAGCAATTTTGAGCTGCCTTTCTGGGTACTTGGAAAAGAAATTGTATTCCTCAAATAGGTTGGCAATCATGCACTCAAAAATTGATTGTTCCCTGTTGGTTCAAACAACAGTCACAACCGAATACGAATAGCAATATAATGTCAGTTGTATGACAGTCACAGAACAAAATCTCACTAATAGTGATACTATGCTGAAGGCTCTTTACACGGCGGCATCAGGCCACTTACCCAAAATTGGTCCCACAGTGGACGTCATTCAACTAGGAAAACAATAGATTAACAGACCAAAAGTCCAAAAAATCTAACACAACATAACTGCAAACATTTTGTAAAAAAAATAAAGCATTTAATATTCCAATGATATTCGTCAAAATCACAAATTTTATATGTTGAATCTTCTTTTCTTTGCCTTAATGAAGTTGTATCTCATGCATTTAAATTCTTTCATATAATTATTGAGAATTTTTTTGTTGAGTTAGTGTACATAGTTATTGTTGGCCCTTTTGCATAGATCAGGGCACATGGGTTGTGCCTTTGTTTTTGGTGCTTTAATTTTTAAGAATTTTCCAATGACTTAGAATATAAAAAAGAAAGGGAACCAAGAAATATAACAGTTGACTCTGCACCTACAAGATATCATGCATGTAGAATGAAAATGATACTACACTAAGGGTCAAGTAGCCAAGGACAGTGAATGCTGAACAGGGAACAAGAAATCCCTTTAATTACTTGGGGCTCAAAAAGGCAATCTAGTGACCTTCATGCTCTCCAAATGTAATGTTCACGACTAAAATGAGACCATTGAAGAATATACAAACATATTCCTCATATGTTATTATTTTCGGGTTCTCTTGAAATAACTGCATTCAGAACTTTAAACATCACTTCTAGGATGACTCTAGTTTTTTCGTAATGATACCATTCAAGATGACAATCCCCTCAAATGCAAGTAAAATATCAATGAAGCCAGTCAAGTTCGCAGAGCGTCCAAGGATACTCTAAAAATATGGAGCAAGGAACAATATTAACCATCAAAAAATGCGATTATTGAGAATTCCTATCTCATTTGGTGTGGACAAGCATACTTAGTTAACAAAATTTCCAGATACTTGAACTTTCATTGCATCATTATATAACAAGAACTCTGCAAAACAGCTCAGGTGTAGACTAAGCTATTGAAATCAAAAAGCTCTTCATACAAAAAGAAGGGAAAGGAGGGAGGGGGAATAACACTCAAATTGACGGTGGAGAAAGAGAGAGATTTACAAAAAAACCTTTTCTCTGAAGATTCCTTGAACCGCACAAGCATTTCAATCATTGCGTTGATGGCCAGCTGACCAGAGAACATTTGATGGAAGTAAGAATTTACTACTACCTCAATATCATCTGCACATCCATCGGCAGTTGATGAACCAGTACCGGCACCATTCTTCAGTCTCAAATTAAAGTGCATAAATGTTACATGCAACTTCTCCATTTCCTTAGAAAGCTGGCTAGAGGAAACAAAGCCTCTATGAGCATGAAGGACCTAGAAAACAAGTATGCAGATTGTTAAGCTCCATTAGATTGAAAACAAAAATGCATTTAAAAATACCAAGTTGTGCAGAACCTTTAAGAAGGTAGAACTTGTCTCGTAATAAATATTCCAGAGAGCACCAGTCTGACTGAAGTGGTTAGCAGAAACATCCTGAATACCATATTGAACCTCCTTTAAAAAGTTGAGGCACTCCTGGAACCAACAACGTGTAAATATGAGACTGAATCTCTTACCACTTTCTCAATGGGAAGAATAGTAATAATAAGCTGTAGAAATTGATGGAAATTCTCGACTCTACATCCAGTAAACCGAGTTCACATTTCGATGGGAACTTTCTTTAATCGGTAGCAAACTCAGCTTCTAACTGCTTGACAAGGTTTAAAAGGAAAAAGACAAGGAGGTTCCATCATTATCATGTACCTCGAAGAAAATATCTTTATATGTACTCAAATTAGTGCTCAGCCACTTCTCCAAGTCTAAGAGATCTTTTCGAGAAGCAAGGGCAGCAAGCCTAATACCAAAAGAAAAAGGAACCATATCCAATGCCGGTGATAGAATCTGTCATATAAGGAGATATATAAATCCAATGAATGGAGTGAACATCCCAACAAACTGAGCAGAAACATATTAATTGGATAACCATGCCTGAAAACACAAAAAGGAACTCAAAACAGACGATCATAATAGCATATTTTAGGAGAGAAACAAGTTTCATATGCGACATGCATATTATTCATCCTCAGTTGCAAAGAATTTAGGGAGTATAATGCAACAATCAACTTGGGATAGTGCCATCCTTCAAACGCATAGAAATGTCCGATTAGCTGTTGAACTGAAAAGTCACAATGAAATCTCACAAAGACGTTCTCATCCTGTACCCAGTTCACAATTAAAAATATATGTGCAACTCATGAAAACATACTTTTAAGTGGGATAATACTCTCATCACATAAGAAAACGGCAATCAACGAACAGAAAGGATACTGCTCCAACGGTCAATATCAAATAAATAAAGCATCCTAAGACATCCAGAAATGATGAATCACAAACCACATCACAAAAACCAATAAAAATGAAGCATTGATCAAACTATTTATGGTTAGCTTTAGGTGTTAGGCTTTTTGCTGGTGCACTGGATATCATGTCACATATTATGTTAGATCATAACATCAACCAAAAATTAAAGAAGAAAATGTCAACTCTAGGGAGCAGACAATCACCATAAACAACATCTGTAGAAGTTCTAACCTTCAGCTCCTGGGATACATCAACAACTTTATTCATATTTTCCAGATCGATGTTGACAGCATCTATGAATCCCCGCAACAAGATATTGGGGTTAACATGCCAGAGATGAAGAACCATACCATTCCCCGAAGCATTCTTAAGTACTATGGAGAAGACAGCAGAAGACACTTCATATTGAATGAGATTATATGCAGTCTGCAAATATAGTAGCAATATTATAAACAAAACAGTTGTATTTGGAAAAGAAAATAGAGTAAATAATTATGCATTAAAAATGAGAGAAAAGTACATTAATGTGGGCCATCCCAAGAAGCAATATTTCAGGACAGTACTTAAGTGGATACTCGAGCAATGCTCGAACAGAACTTGCATGGCCTCTCTCAGCTAGCTGACACAACACCTCCAATAGGTCAAGACATAACCATGCATGATTTGCATGTCCTAGCTGAAACTTATGACCATTTACAGCATCAATATATGCCTGCAAGAATGAACTGGCTATTCAGACAATTGAGAGACAACACGTGTCATTAAAAACAACTGGATATTAAAAGCACCATACCAGTTGCCTCCCAGAATGTGCAAATGTGAATACTTCAGGTGGTACTGAAACAGCATACTTAAGAAAAGATAGCTGGCCTTCAGAATTCTTCCAAACAGAACCACAGACGGCATGGAGTGGAAATGCATCCTGCAATCTCGGTTAAAATGATTCAGATTACCATTCTACAACCATATGTCATACCTGAGATATTTAATTTGAGATTTATACAGGCATACCTGGCACACATATCTATAAACAGACATGAGAAAGAAAAATGCAGCCTCGTTAGGGACATAGAATCCCTCATGATCCAGATTCTCAATGACATTTATCCAGTTGATCCCAGAAGCCTGTAACTCAGGATACACCATCGAAACAAGCAAAGCACTTTACCAAGTTGCTATCGCCAGGGTCACTAAAAAGTAGATAAAGAAAGATGGTACACAGAACTCACAAGCAGCATGATTGAATCTATCAGGACCTCGATATTCCAGGAATTCAGAAGTGGCAGATCTGATAAGCTGCTGCTACCAAGAGCAGAACAGAATGTCAAGAATGTATTATGGTTGTCCTCAAGACTCATATGGGTGCAAGCAATTGTGCCAAGGATCCGAGCGACAGTGACCTCAGTCAGCGGTAAGAAAATAGATAACATCCCCTCGCACTGTGAGACATCCACCGTGCATCCATAACCTAATTCCTTCATTATGTCAGCCATGCTCATTTCCTTCTCCATTTCTGCTAGAAGAGCGTCAAAATCATCTTCATTGACATCATTGTAAATATCCAAATTCCTACAGCAAAGCAAAGGAGATACCTGATTGGATCAAAACCATAAAATGAAATTAATTGCAAGCCAATTCAACAAAAATTGAAAAGAACTACCTCAAGAAGTTGGCTTCATGCAATTCATTCGACAGCAATGGAGCCAAAATAAATTCAGTTCCTTCCTTCAACTGCACTAAAGATACCATCTGCATAAATGAATCTACATGCTTGGATAGACCCTCAGATCGATTAAGAAATATAAGAACATTCTGAATTTGCTCAGCAGAATCTATAGACACATGGCTGTCACATAGTTCCCCAATCTGAGCCATGCAGAAGTTTTTCCCTGCAAACCAACCAACAGGTAAGTACCAATTGAAAAGTAATACATACAATATTCAGCAGGAAACAATTCTGAGAATCCTATGCTGATTCAATGCTCTATGCCTAATAGGAAAAGAGAGGAAAGGCTAACCACATAATCGCACATCAAGTCTTTCTGAATCTGACAAAGCAAGACCAACTCCAACTTTCTCAGATGCTGACAAGCATAGCGCATTACAGAAATTTCCAAGAAAATCTTCATCAATAGCTGTACTTTTCAGTGACTCACAAAGCACTGTACTGAAATTCGGCTTATCGAAGAGGAATTTAACAATTGAAGTAAAAACTGGTTCCATCTGCATGTTCTTTAAGTCTTTCCCATAAATATTCAGGTGATCCAAGCATGTTTGGAGCAACAATATGCTTCCCTCAACTCCATATCTGATATACTGCCAAACAGAAGCACATATCAGCTAAAAGGGAGTTGCAGCACACAATGGGCTTAGCTCAACTCAGTACATAAAAGCTTTATCCAAATATATAGGACGTGTCTTAATACTTCTCAGTACATAGTTTAAAGGGTAAATCTCAATACATCCATGAACATAAGGATTAAATAATATTATTGCTTATCAACAAGAGGTGAAGTTCAAACAGGTTTTATGATTCCTGTCTATCTAACGCAATCCTTTCTCTTTCCCTTTCCCTTTCTCTGATTCAGGACCAGGCAGTATACAAGACACACCAATATGGGAGAAGTTATGTATATTATATCAGTTTTTTGAGGGAAAAAACAAAGATTAAACAAAAAGGAAGAAGAAATAGAGAAAGATAGAAACACACAAAAAAAAAATGTGAAGACGGAAAGAATACATCAAACATACACACAAAAACGTGAATACATAGCTTTATGTACAGATACATAAAAAAGCAGACGCATATTCTATCTTATAACTCCACAAAACCTTCTCTCCTTAGTCTCCTCTTGAGTGCCCTAAAAACCAAATGCACTACCAGCTTTTTCTATTTTAGTTTTTCGTTCTGCTGGGTGATGTTATTATGTTTTATTTTTCTTTCACATGTCTTCGCCTTAATTGCCTCTTGCAACAGTTACCAAGTAGAATCCTCCTACGGAAAGAGCAATACCGACCATGCTTATTGTTTAAGCAAAGATATTCAATTCAATGAAATGTAAAACTAACAGGTTTGCACTTCAGCAACATATTCAACAAATATTTCTTTTTTTATAAAATCCGACGATCTTTCAAAAAGATAATTTTTTTACTAAATAACCTAACACCTTAAGCTGGTAAGATAACAGTTGGCCAGTTCCACTAAGTGCCTCAATCGTAGACCGGTATACAGTTATATAGACTTTTTCCTAGCAGAAACAGAAATGTTAGCTTCAGCATTCAAGAAAACTGGATTGTCTGCTATTTTAGAAAGAAAGGAAAGTTAATAAGGGGCAGTTACTTGTAGTAAGCACTATTTCCAATTTTTCAATTGAGACAATTCCCCTCTTCAGTTCTTGCTTCCCAACATCCATTAACTTAAATCACTGACATCCAGAATAAGTAATACAAATGAGAAGTCAAATAATAAAAGATTTCATCTGGAATTAAACATGTGTATCACTCAATTCACTAGCAAAACCAAACCTCTGAACTTAAATGACTACACGCTTCTAGTTCTATAATCAAATTGATAGGATGTAAAACAGACAGGTTAGCAACTCCAACATTAGCTGTATCTTTCACAATAATAAACTATTGCCTAATTATAGATGGCCTTTCTCATTTAATTGCCTCACAGGACAAGTTTGCAATTACACAGTCTATTATCAAAAAAAATAAAATTTGACAATAAAAAATAATTCCCCGGCATCACAGTGTTCCAAAATTTCCCATGGGACAATTGCTCAGAGTGTAAACTCCGGATGTCCTTTAACTTTCACATAAGTGACTGACCTCCATAAAAAGTCCAACAAATGGAGATCAGATAAGAATAAACAGATACAGTCCTGAATTTACAGCACAAGCCAAGTTAAACATGTGTGCTGCTCAGTTTACAGATTTCTTTTGCCCCATACTACCATTTAAATAGATATTCCTGAATAGCTGGATTCAGCACACAGCTCAGACAACAAAAAAAGCCCCTGCAGCTATGCTCACTTGTTATACCCTTAATCAAACAAATGGAGTCACAAATCCTGTCAGACTTGTTTTTATGTAGCATCCAATTTGATGTTCTTCAGAAAAACTTCAATTATTCTAAAACAGACAAACTCAGCCCAAATTTCAACCTCATTTGACATTCATTGCTCCAAGTAATTTTGAGGTTCAAGCAATCAACCTAAAACAACTGCTTTCAAATAATTAAAAACTTAGAACAAAGATGAAAACGACTCCCTCCCTTTTAAAAAAAAAAAACCTAAAACAAGCAAGAATTAACAGCTTCGCAACTACACAAAAAATAAGTAAATTCTACCAATTCATCACAAATCAGGGTTAATCTCCATAAAAAATAATGAGAAACCGAAACTGATAAAACAGAGAACCTAAAACAAGCAAGAATTACCACATTCAATACTAAACAAAAATAAGAAAATTCTAATAATTCCTCACAAATCAATGCTAATCTCCATGAAAGATATTGAGAAACCAAGACTGGTCATGATTATTTGATAATGCATATCTTTGTCCATACAAGAAATAAATAAATGAGAGAGAGAACTATACCTGAAAGAGCTAATTCTACCAATTCATCACAAATCAGGGCTAATCTCCATAAAAAAATAATGAGAAACCGAAACTGATAAAACAAATAACCTAAAACAAGCAAGAATTATCACACTCAAGACTACACAAAAAATAAGAAAATTATACTAATTCATCACAAATCAATGCTAATCTCCACAAAAAGATATTGAGAAACCAAGACTAATCTTGATTATTTTATAATGCATATCTTTGTCCATACAACATACGTGTACACGTATGTAAAGAAAGAAAGAAATAAACAAATGTGTGTGTGTGTGTGTGTGTGAGAGAGAGAGAGAGAGAGAGAGAGAGAGAGTTATACCTGAAAGAGCTAATTCTACCAATTCATCAAAAATCAGGGTTAATCTCCATAGAAAATAATAAGAAACCGAAACTGATAAAACAGAGAACCTAAAACAACAAAGAATTACCACACTCAAGACTACACAAAAAATAAGAAAAATCTACAAGTTCATCACAACTCAATGCTAATCTCCATAAAACTATATTGAGAAACCAAGACTGATCATGATTCATGATTATTTTATAATGCATAGCTTTGTCCATACAACATAGTTCACACGTATGTACGTAAAGATATATGTATGTGTATATATATATACAGAGAGAGAGAGAGAGAGAGAGAAATTCAGAGAGGCAGAGAAAGAACTACACCTGAAAAAGCTCTTCAAGAACAGAGTCGGAGTTGTACTCGTTCAAGCTCTGGAGCAGATATCGAATCTGAGCGGAAGCGATCGAAGAAAAAGGCAGCATCGCGAATGAGTGACTGAAGGTAGGGTTTTCCAGCAAGAAAGAGAAAGACGGAGAGAAACGTGAGCGATATTTAGGGAATTTGGGAAGACGAAGTGAAGAGGAAATTTGGGGCGATAGAGAACTACTAAGAGGCTGAGACTGTAATGGGGATGATTTATATAGGTTGAGTGAACTCGGTTCGTGTGATGAGAGAGAGTCGCACCTTTTTTGAATTTGGAAGTCTATTTCTCTTGCAGTTGGGTAGCTTGTAGCCCACGTCTTATTAGCCTAAATGATACTTAATTAGCACCCTGGGAAAAAAATGTATTTTTAATCTAACCTTGATTAAAATTGTCATATTTTATATCCTGTTCAAATACAATGTAATAACGCGCTCCATTTTAATGCCTCATTTGGTAACTGTTTATTTTATATTTTTTAAAAAACTAAAAATAACAATGTATTTAATAACATTTTGATGTTATTTTGGTTTTTCTCTCCACCTCCTTTGTTGTTGCCACTGCACCGCTCTCCATCTGCCAATACTATGTTGCCATTATTGTACCACCATAACCATCTGTCAAACAAATGTTGTTACTTCCATTGCCGTTATAAGTACTCTCACCTGTTGTCGTCACCCACTACTATTATTCGCCACCACCACCCTGACGACCATCCGTCACACCATTTTTCATAATCATTATCACCTCCCCCAATTGTTGTTGTCACCACCACCACCATGTTAACACTTGTCAAGGGTGGAGGGAAAATGGAGGCAGGGCAATTTTCTCCATTGAGATTTTGAAAATTTTTAGGACTAGTTTAAAATTACAATAGAATTAAAAAAAATTCAATACTTGTCCCCACTGATTTTTTAAAAAATTGTGTAAGACTTAATTTCACAATTCTATTTTTCTTTCTAGCTATTTCTCTTATTTCCACAATGACACATTAGGTTACCAAACTCATCCTCCTTTAAATTCGATTATCTATATATGGGTATGTTTAATTGATTATTCAAGTTCGAATAGATTATTATATTTTAAAATTTAGATTTAAATACACCAAAATTTGACTTAATTGTGAATCATAAATGATTCACAAACACACGCATGCACATGTATATATATAAGATTTAGTTTTTGATCAAATTTTTAATATTTAATAGATATGAATATAGATATGAATTGTAAATAAGAAATTGATGAATAATCATATCATATTCAAAATGGAGATTTCAAATCAAAATTGGATTTGAATCACTCAAAATTTGATGGTTGACAAGTGTATTTGTAGTTTGTTTACAAAATGATTTGTCAAAATAATTTTTTTTATGAAAATTATTCTAATATAAGTATTTTCTATAAAATAATTTTTTAAATTAGGTTATATCTTTTTACATGGAAAAACTTTTAAAGCAGTAAAGTACAAAATTTCCATGAAGAATTATTGTATACATAGTGTAAATGGCAAAACACTCATATTTATAAGACACAATAAAATTTAATGATTGTTCTTCGATGATTCTCCTCAACTTTATGATTGTCCTCGCTCAAAATAAACTCGGAATCTGCCCAGTCACTAGTGATCACCACCACCTCTTGCTAACACTAGATGCACCCATTATAACCATCCACCAATTGTTGTCGTCGCCATCATAACTTACAACTTTTGGCCTCCAACTCTACTACCACCTTTCGCCACCTCTCACCATTATCATTCACCATCACTCCCAACAACTACCCTCTGTCATTGATTGTCACTACCATCAACTGTTACCATTATCACTCGTTGTCACTATTTTTATGTTCACTTTTTTTTATGTTTTTCATTTGATCTTCTCTTGTAAAACCCGACTAAATTTTAATTTTTTATGAAAAGAGATAAAATGGTAATTTGTCACTATTATAAGAGTCGTAAACCTAATTTTTTTTAGAGTTCGGATAACAAAACGGATCTCACTGTTAGATTTGTCTCGCGAAATCTAGTTGTCTTTTTCAAATTTTGTTGAATTATGAAATAGTTGATTTTCACGTTTTACGAGGTGATCGGACCTCGAATGACCCAAAAATGAATTCTTGAATAAAATTTTGGAGGTTGGAAAATAATTAAAAGAAGGTTCATAGAAAAATATTTCAAACTTGAACCAAGCTAAAATTTAATTATTTTTGGAGCAAAAACGGACCCAAGAAAGGAGGTCATGTGGCGTTGGCCAAGTATTCTAGGAATATAAATAAAAGAGAAAATTTAGATTTCTCCTCTATTCATACGCTAGGTTTTAACGTTAAAGAGAAGAGAGAAAATCCAACTTCTTTATACGATCTACATCTCCCCGTCACTCAAATCAACCCGAGCCAATAATAAAAGTCGACCTCCTCGTCGTGGGTTATGCGACTATACCAAAAAAGAGGGTTTTCACCGAAGTTCAAGAAACAAGAATTGGAGAAAGTGAAGATTCTAACTTGAATCGAGTTTTTGAAGTTTTTCAACGTCGTTTTACGCTTCAAGGGGTAGAGTTTTCTCCCTAATTAAGTTTATTTTCAACCTAAGGTGTTTATATGAGATTGGTAGGTTGATAGAATTGGATATTGAAAATGGGTAAATTTAATTATAGTGTGAATTGGTAATTAGAAATTACTAAGCATATAATTTCTTAGCCAAAAAAAAAATGTGATTTGTGGGCATGTTATGTGTTTATATTATGCCTTGATGAATTTAGTGTGTGAATTGCATGATTATGTGATGGTATGCTTGGAAATTGTGTTGTATGAAATGATATATGTTTGTGATATATTGACAATTGATGTATTATGAAAATTATATGCTTAGGATGTAATTATATATGGTATGTGTTAAAATTGTTCATATAACATTCATTATATATTGAATATGGTAATAGTCTTATGATGGTGCATTACATTGCATTTGTACGGGAACATCGCATTCATGGACATCGACATGGGTGTGGGTGTAGGTGTGTGTGTGTATGTGTTGGATCAAACATCTTACTTGGTGGATGATAGGTGAACTCAGAAAAATTTGGAACAATGTTTCCAACTGAGTTGCACGGTTGTATAAAAAACTTGTGTCGGGTATAACAAGAAGGGTCAAACTCTCATTTGGGTGCAAGGCCTAACTACTGGTTTATATACTTCCGACGGTGCAAGTCCTAAAAAGTGTATTGGTGTGCGGAGCCAGCGGTGCGACACCAAAAGTCCGCTACCTAACAAAGACACATGATTTTGTTTATAAAATTATCATTCGATGTGTAATATCAATGACGGGGGCTTGGAATGCCCGATTTTTCACATATTGACATTGCATTTTGTTGTGGGAACCGGTGAGGGCTCAGATTAAAGTGCATAAGTGAGTTTCATCTCATTTCATGGTATGACATGAAATTATTGTCATTGAATGCATATTATTGATGAGAATGTTTTGAATGGTTGATTGTTGCATGTGAATATTTCATATATATCTAGGTTAGAGAGTAGCCTATTTAGAAGATACCTTATTGAATATGATCACCTTTCGTGGAAAAATATTTCAGGTGCGGGGTTCACATCGGCGGACGACTCCCAATTCGAGACTTAAGGATGAAGAAGGCCGACTTGTGAATTTTATGACTCATTTTGTATAACTTTTGTGAAAATTTTATTTTTGACATGTAAAGATATGTAATTGCTTATAATAGAATTTGTCGTATCATGTTTCATATGAAAATCTTCATTAAACATTTATTGAATGGTTGTGAGATGGATTGAAAGTAATTGAAAATTAAAAACATGTGAAACAGATAATTTTGGGCAAAACCTACTGGTGGATGTGTTCCAGTAGGCAAAACCTACCGGTAAAACATTAAAACCTACCAGTAGGTTTTCTAAAAATTTCAAATTTTAAGTGTTGTGTCATACTTTTGGACTTTGGGTTCTTTCGTTTAAATGACATAAATAGACATTAAATGAGGATAAATTATTATATATTGGATCTCTGATGATTCATGTGAATGTCATGTATACAAGTTATGCATTGGGAGTCCTCGGTACAAGAGAGACTCCGTTCAAATTTTGGGTTTTGTGATCTCGGTTAGGGGAATGATATTAACGTGATGTCAGATTGTGTGATGATCACAGATACTTTCGTTGGTTGATGAGTGGTCAATGATTGATAAACGACCCCTAATTTTAAGGGCGTCACATGTCTTGTGCAATACTCTTTATTGGCATTTTGTACTAATTGTTGGGGGTTTAGTTAAAAGATAATAAGACATGTGTTTGATTGTATGTTGAATAATGAGATGTATTAATATGTCTAATGACTTATGCGATTCTAATATTTTAATTTTTTTTATCTTATTTTATGAGTTAATGGATAATCAAAACTTGATTTGTGAGGTTTTTCTTGGAAAGATCAACTTCTGCACAAAAACTAGTTATGATGGTGTATGAGTTAAACTTTGTAGAGCCATTAAGAGTCGAGGCACTTCTGAAAAGCATACAAAAAAATACAAAAAGAACACAATAGTCGGTGGGTTAGCCTAATAAGCGCATAAATTGGGTTGCAAATGCGGAGACAGTGACTTAAAAAGTTACACATTTCAGTACTGATACTCAAGTCAAATAATCGAAATAAATTTGCCAAATGTCCTGAATGAAAATTCTTTGTCCTAAAGGTCCATTCTAACGTAGTGATTCAAGCCAATGAACGACAAAACCATTCTTCTCACTTATGGTCCGTTTGATATAAAAAATTAAAAGTAGGAAAAATGAAAAATATGGGAGATACACTTTTTATCCTTCAAATATGGAAAATAGAAATGATACACTTTAATTTCTTTGTATTTTGTTGGATGGATGAAAAATAAAAATGACTAATTTTTTTTAATTTTTTTTTTGTCTAATATTAGGAGCGACAATCGAGTCGTGTCGTGTCAAATTCGTGTTGAGTCATAAAATTATGAGTTTTTTATATTTCTTGTTCGCGTGTCAGGTCATTTTTAAGTTTTTGTCGAGTTATAATCAAGTTTGTGTAATAAAATTCATATCGAATTCGAGTCGTGTTATCTTATTGAGTCGAAATTTTCACCCCTAGTTGAGATGAAAAAATATTTTTTTAATTTAATTTTTTAATTTTTAAAATATATATATACACACATATTTTATCATTATATTTTTATATGAAATTAATGTATACATAATATATAAACAAATAAGATACATCTTAACACAAATAATTAACTTTTCATCCACTTTTCTTCTAATTTTGAAGGGATTGATTTTGGTGAGTTGGAAGAAAAATTAATTCATCCACTTTTTCCATCATTCTTATTTTTATTCCTTATCAAACATGATATTTTATTTATCCCTCCAACTTTTCATTCTTCAATTTTTCTATGATACTAAAGAGAGCATCAAGCTCACTACCTTTTTAATTTTTATTAATTGGCATGGGCACATAACATACACCCAACAAAAAAAAAACAGATCCATTCATCAACTAAATAGTAATATTAATTTGATTTCAACTTCAGAGATTAGATTTTTTATAGTATATTCCTATTGAATTTTAAAAATTGCAATGTAATAATTTTATTAGTTTCAATTGCTTATTTTGTTAAAATTCACCATTGAAGTTGATGAAATGAGTAATAAAAACTAACAAAAAAGTCATATTATAATATTTTTATTAAATTGAGGGTATAGTGTGAAAAATTTAATATTTAAAGGTATAAAATAAACAATCTCAAAGTTTTGGGGTGCAAAGTATAATTCGCCCAAATGAATATATTGCCCTCCAAGGGAGGTCGGGTTTGATAACACGCGAAAGGAAACGGATTTGCTGAGGAAGAATAGACCTTCGAAGCTCTCAAAGCCAATAAAGCTATATACAGTTCACGCACGAAGCTCTCAAAAATGGCGACAATGGCCGAATCATCAGAAGAGAAGCCAAATATAACATATTCACCATCACCACCACCACCACCACCACCACCACCACCACGATCGTCATCATCAACTGTAAGCAATTTCTCTATCAAGAAATCCCAAACCCTAGAAGATTCAATTCCGTGGATCGACTACGCGCTCGAACAGGCACGGTTCGCACAGAAGACGGTTGAAGAAACCGTAGAATCGACAATTGCAGTCACTAAATCTCGTCTCGATCGAATTCGATCCACCTCATCCGCGCATTTGAATCAGACCATCGTAAGTCACTTTTACTCCCCGTTTGGTTTTGAAGGAAAAGGAGAAGAGGATTGAAACCAGCGAGCGATTTTTGTTTCATGCTGAATTATTGTTTATGGCTCCCAAATACTCAAAATCTGAAGGATATTTTACTAGATTTATTCACTTAGAAGCATTCACTAAGCAACCAATCGGAACCCAATCACATCATGTACCTGCTGAAAAACTAAGGAACAAAAGTAATATAATGAAAACCTCGGTTACTTTGTTCTTATGATGTCATCTTCTGAATAGGTCTCTCTCTCTCTCTCTTAAAGCGCAAATTAGAAAAGTAGTTGTCCCATAAGCATTTCTCATGGAAGAAATGATACAGCACTTTTGGTTTTGTTAGCAGCCAAAGTCAATATATAAGTGATCATATTTTTCTTCATCAGTAAACACACTTTTGTTACACAGGATTAACCGTGTACGTTCTTGACAAATAGCGGGTTCTTAAGAGATTCTAATGTTTGGGTTGTGGGTTTACCATGGAAAGTACATAAATGATTTGGAAACCTGGTTGCAGGATTCTATTCAAGATGTCAAGAGTGATTATAATGCTTATGAGGATATGGTCTTTGGAAAGATAAAAGGTCGTTGTACTTTAGCATCCATTTCAACTGACATTACGATCAACTAGGGTTTTTTTAGTTGCTACGAGTTTATTTACCGCAATTTTTCATTGCAAACAACTGTCTGCAGAGGGTATTCTTGTTGCTGCTTCACATCCATTGGTTACGAGCGGAGCTGTAATTGGCTTAGGACTGCTGGGTCTGAAAAGTATGTTACCAAAATTTCATTGCATTTTCTATCATATTTGTCATTTGAACTACAAGATTGGTGCCACGATTTAAGCATGATATTTTAGTGATAAACCACTCCATTTCTGATTCTAAAGTTTGTTGTTATTTTACGTCTGGACTGTACCATACATTATCTGATGCATGCTAATACCTCAGGGAAACTAAGAAATTCAATTCAATCAAAATTGTTTATGTAGAAATTTGTTGGGGTTTTTTCTTGTGGGGCTATGTGGTTGGAAGCTTGTCTAATTAACATGATGTCCTACATTGGTTAACAGTAACAATTCTGAAAAGTTTGTGTCATATTATATAATTACTTTTTGCATGTAACTTGTATATTACCTGCAGGACCGAGGCGTTTCTTGTACTACAACACTATGCGGCTTTTTACGAGTGAAGAGGTGAGCATGATGAAGTCACAGATGTTTTTGGTTTGCTGTGTCGCATTGATTTTGTTTTTGCCATCATCTAGTATAGGCTTCATTTATCAATTGCCAGAACTGAAATGCAGGACAAAAAAATGCATTGTAGTTTTAGTTCAAATCATAGTTTACGTTTATCGAGATTTCATTATTCAGTGATAAGGAGCTACACCTGACTTCAAATTTTACAATCCTTTCCAAGTGAAGCTTCATTACTAGATAGAGTGATGAAACAAGCACCTCTCTTTTGCATTTGTGCGTATGCAAGTTTTAGGTTTATTCTGCTTGATCCAGCACCATTAGTTTCTGGCTGTATTCGTATAAAATATTTTCAGGTTTTTTATTTCTCAATGTTCAATGCTTGTATAGAACTAATTGTAGTGAACTGCCAAGCATTTTCTTAAGATCGAATCTGGAATTAAGTATCATGTTTACATTAGTCTTCATTGCTGGGTACAGGCTTTGCTTTCCCGAGCTGATGGTAAAGTAAAAGAGTTACGGCAATCAATTGATTCCTTGAAGGCAGAAAGTGAAAAGTTGGAGGTAGTCTTTTTTATTTAAGTCAATAGTAATTGATGACGAGGAATGCGATGTCTACTATATTTTAGAAGTCAACAATGTGCATTACCATTTTGCTATTAGTGTGGTTTAACTTTAAAGTGATCAGAAGGAGAAAGTGTTTAATCCTCCTTTAGTATTATGATGCTTGGGGGTGAGCTATTTTCTGAAGATAAAATGAGAAAAAAGAAACTGAAATCCTTTGCCAGATTTTCTTGAAGCAGCTAAGAAAATAGGCACCAACTTAGGAGGAGCAAAAAGTTGCCACGGAACGGTTTATAGGAAGCCAAAAAACGTGAGCATGTTGACAACTTTTGGGCTGATTGGCGAATTAATTTGACTGTAATAGTGACATACTGATGTTGCGTATTTCCTAATGCTTGATGGTACAATTTCTCAAGTTTATGTAAACTCCTGCATGCTTTTATGTCAAGGCATTGGTTTTTAATTACTGTACGTGCAATGCATATATATGTCTTCGTGTTTTCAGAAGAGGGCGTTGCTAGCAGAAGAGGAGATGAAACGAGGAAGCACAAAACTCAGGTTTGTGATTGCAGATGAAGTGCAATTTATTTTATTAATATTCTTTTGTCACAAACTGATACAAAATTTATCGGTCTACACAGACAAGCAGGGAATCAAATCCAAGGAGTCATACGTTCGGCTTATAAGATTGAAAGACAAGCAGGGGGTACGCAAATACTATCTTGCTTTAAACTACTCAACTGAGTACATGGAGTTTTTGTGAATAACATGGATGAGTTGTTATGGGGTGTGTCACTGCCACTAATAGTTTTGAGTTTTACCAGGCTTGAGAGATATTCTTAGAGAGCTTCCTAGTAGAGAAGCATCTATTTTCCGATCTCAAGTAAGTCTCTTAGATTGATTTGTGATATTTGAATTGGAATGCTGGAGTATATATTTCAAAAATGCTATTATTTTTTGCTTGCATAATTCTTTTTCATTAGATTGTAAAGGACTTGGGTGCATTTGTTTTTGGCAAAGCTAAGGCCTTATACTAGGCGGAATGATGAGATAGGAGTAATATACTCCACTTCCATTTGTTTTGGTTACAAGAATGTAATTTTTGCCTACTTGGGTGAAAAACCTGATTGTTAATTCTAAGGGGCAAGGATGACTGGAGAAGACAAATGCATTTAGCCTTCTCAAGTAGTTGGAATTAATGGTCATTGAGTTGAATTGGTGCATAGAAATGGAAAGAAAAACTTCAGGGGTGACTATGTGGCAGGGTTTGGTCATACATAAATTGCTTTTAGGATTGTATCTTGGATGTCTGAAGAATGAAACAGCTCTATGGTTGTGCTACTTGTGTATAGTTGAGCTGGTGTCATGACTAATCGGGTTCATGTCAACTCATTTATTATGCCAGTCTGACTGGCCAAACCAATATGATCCGAGCTTCTAAAGGTTAAGACCTATATCTGATAATTTCATGTCAATTTCTCATCAGTTGATGGATGTGTTAAGAATTGTTAGTCCTACTTATTTTTGGCCAAGATGATATGAGAACCAGTAGTACAAAACTCCCCCTTTTCAATTGATTTTTTTGCACACCCCTTCCCTTGTCCATATGCATGTCCTATGGTGCACTTTGAACTGTCAGCATGGGTGAGTGTATTATCTTTTAATTAATGGCAAATCTTCTCATTGTGGAGCTTTTGATTTTAGGTGTCTAACCTTGCTTCGGAAGCTAAGCGAGAAAGAAAAGCTCTTAGCAAGGAGGTTGCGAAGATCAGTGATTATGGAATCTCCGTTTGAAACTCAATTATTTGCTGGATCTGAGATAGCTTTGGTTTTTCTTTTTTTTGGGAAAATAAATTTGGTTTTTTGGTACAAGATTGTTTTCAAAAAAAGGATCATGATATTTTTTTTGGTAGAAACTAATATTCCTATTGTGGTGGAAAAGGCATGTTATTTTGTTCTAGGACAAGTCATGAGGTTCACAAGCTTCATTTTGTATTTGTTCAGGATTCTGTTCAATTTTGTCTGGCTTGGAATGTTATAAGCTGGTGAGATGAGTAATGTTTGAGGGACATGAATTCTGGAAACTCTCTAGTAAATATTGAATGCAAACGGTGATACCATGTCATTATTGATGATATGATATTATTAATTAATAATAAAGTTTCAAATGGGTAAGATGAATTTTACTTGGTCTTACATGGAAAAGGAATGGAGCATTATTTATTTCTATGATAAGTTAGTTATAATTTTTTGTGGGTCTATTTATTTAATTGTCTTAATATTATTTATCGGTAATATTATATTACATTGTCACGTAATACCACCGTTCTAACGAGGATTTTCTATGGGGATTGGCTTTTGTTTTTCATTTGTCCCTGAGGGCCATCTTGAAGTGTTTTAGCGTCAGTTTCCACAGGCCCGCGTGTACACACACCACCCACCAGTTTGCAACACAAAATAACAACCTCGGAATTTAGGCTTCACACAATTGTCAAGGCACCACCCACCAATTGGATCTTAACAGATTCATGTAAAAAATTATTCCACTCGTAGTGATCCAACTCAATTCTCGATGAGACAGACACCCCCACTATGCTTTTTCCTTGGGATATCTCTTCCAAAGAGAAACTTTTTTCAGATCTAGTGGTTCAGTTTCGTGCAGTGTTATCAAAATCGGATTAGATTGATCGGTTCGATCAATTAGACCGTGAATTGAAATTTCAGCCAATCCGGTTCTTAAATTGAACTATTTAATTTAAGGAATTAAATCAAAATAAAACCGTCACATCAACCAATTTTTTGACAAAAACCATGAATCGAACAGTTTAGTCAAATCGAGCGATTCAACTGTCTTTTTTATAAAAACCCCCAAATCCTTAATTTTAGCCCAATTCCAGTCATCTTCTCCACTCAAGCGTTGGTGGACCAGACTAGATTCAGAGCAGACCAAGCTTCACAAGTCACAACTTCACAAACCAAGCTTCACAGATCAAGCTTCACTACATCATCTTCTCCACTCATGTCTGATCGAACAATTTCTTCACTTGATCCCTCTTTGCTCAAATTTCACAAGTCATAACTTCGATCAGTGATTTTTTAGGCTTCACAGCGTTGCTCCTTCCAGCTTTTTGCTCCTTCAAGTTTTTTCGCTCCTCCTTGGAGCTTCAACTGAGTAGATGTCTTCTCTCTCTCTCTCTCCTCTCCTGTATCATAATACTGTTAGTTACTTGGTCTTAGGCCTCAACATGGCTCCACCAATTGTCCCTCGGAGATGGCAGTTGATTATATAAACCAACCACCCTGAAACATGTCTTTTTCTGCGGTTGATGCTCTTTGAAAAAGTCGAATTCTTGGGCACAGTATTTTTCATTTGTAACACAAGTATTTTTTTTTATATTTAATTAATTTATGATAAATTATATGTATTAAATACATGTTTTATATTTTTTTAACTAAATTATTATATTTTTTTATTTTTTTATTATTCAACCAATTAATCCAATAATTAAACTACTAATCCATTAACCCGATTCCTGCACTGATTCGATGCCGCCTAGTCCGGTTCTAATAACTAATAACTATGGTTCCGTGCACTCTGATAGTGCCCTAGTGCCCTGAACGAGAGGTACGTGGGTCCCATTGTTCAAAAAAACAAATCGGTTGCACACTTTTGACACGCCACCGAAAATTCATGAATACACTTCTTAATTTTTTTTGAGCAGCAAATACACTTCTTAATTATTCAAAAGCGTTTTTAATCCACACTTTTAACCAAATATTTATAACTCTCAAAAGTTTTTCTTACACACTTCATTTTAAAATTCCAACCCAAGTATTGATTAAAAATAATAAAATAAAAATAAAAATTATTACCCATAATAGATAGAGAATAGTGGCTGAGACATATCACGTGCATGGACGCATTCATTATTACTCTCCCAAAACCCAATTCATCCGGCCACCGGACCTTGATAGTTGAAGCTCTAAACACTTAGACAGTGGAGAGGAAATCAATCCCAAAAATAAAAAGAAAACAAAATATATATGAACTTGCTCCGAGAAATTCGCGGCGAAAACGGAAATTTTTCGATCTGTAAACCCAACAAACAGTACACTGCAGATCAACTCAGACGAAGTGCCCTAGGATGTTGACCGTGGTGGTGGTCATCATGATGATCGTACGTTTGCCGCTGGTCATTTTGTTGTTGTTGTTGTTGATGGATGAGCTCTTTCTGCCGCCGGAGTTGCAAGACCTTCCGGTGAGAGTTGGAGTGCTGAGTCAACACAAACGTCGGACTCGTCGCGGGTCGGTATTCGGGAACTAGGCGACCCGACTTGAACCGGACGCCACAAGCATTGCATAGCGTCTTGGGACCCATCGGTCCCGTCCTCCACTGCGGCGTCTTCTCCGAGGCGCAATGCGTGCATCTACGCGCCACCTCTACCGTCGAAGTTGATCGATCTCTGGTAATTCCTTTCTCTCTAGCATCTGTGTTGTTGTTGTAAGTAATGTCTGTTTTGGATTTAGTGTTGGGGATTATTCGAGAGTTTGATGAGGTCCTACTGGTTGAGGATGATTTGGAGCGGTTGTGAAATGAACAAGTGTTAGATTGGACATTTAGGGTTCCGGCGAAGGAGTCTGAAGGATAATCGATCAATGCGTCGTCGACGAACGTCGATGGCCATTCGAGTTGCGCAATGTCGTCATTCTACAACAAAGGTACACAGAATCAGCAAAAACTAAAAACTAAAAAATTGAAAACAAAAGATCAATCTCTTCTAAAAAATCTCAAAGAAAATGTATTTGTTTGTGTTTGCAAATGTATTTTGGGCTTACGGGGACACAGAGGTCGTCGGTGAAGTCGCGATTGGGATTGGAAGTGTTGGAATGGGTGCCGGCGGCAGAGGAGTTTGCGTAGGAAGGAAGGTGGTGGTGGTCGGGGGTGGTGGAGGAGAAGAGGACGTCGTTGGAGAAGTCGAGAAGGTCTTCAATGCGAAAGTAGTCCAGCGTCGATAGTCCTCCGTACATCATGTCCATCTCCTTTATGAATGTACGTTAAAGCATAACCCAGTGGGAATATGGTGGTTTAATGGAGGGTTTTTGGAGTGGGTCTTTCAGAGCCAGACTCTCTCAGCTCTCTAACTGCGTGGGGTGTGTGTGTGTGTGTGTGAGAGAGGCAATGGAACGTGGGGGTAGTGACTATGCAACTTAATAGTGCGCTCTCTCTCTCACTCACAGAATATTACTTTAATTTCATACTGTGGGTAGTACTGAAACCGCTGAATAAATGGTAACTTTCCATGGAGGGTAGGGATTACTTTAATGGCCATCGTTTTATTGTCAAATCTATATAATAGTCAACCTAGCTGACGATAACAGGTAATTAGATTTAAGAAAAAATTAATTAAAATATACATAAATTAATTTAAATATTTTTAATCAATTAAAAAAAAACCTTTCGAATATTATCATGTAATAATGCAAACATGGTAAATTTATTAGGCTTAACACCATTCTTTTACACTAAAATGAAAGGAGTTGTTGATTTCAAATTTCAAAAAGTGTAATAAATCAATAATGTTGATATAATATAATCCATCAATAATAAAATAATATATAAATAAGTAAATTATATATAAAATAATTATTGTATAACATAGATGGATAATTTTTTTATTTATGTCAAATTTACTTATGTAAATGTTGGTCTTACGATTATATCATATCACCCAATTTTTTCTCCTGCAGCTGAACCCAAATAGAGAGAGAGAGAGGAGTTTTGTTTTACACACAACTGGCGCCAGCTGTATCTTTTCTAACTCTGTCTTTCCGTATGCATGCATGCATGAAACATGACGATAAATTAATTGAAGTCTGACTCTTACCGCGACGGCTAGTTGTTTAAAACTGAAATGATGCGATGGGGAGTGCGACGTAGAGGTGGCGGTGTAAAAAAGTACAGTCCGTGCACTGACTCCCTTTGCTTTTGCATAAAGTACATGTAATCATGCACGTATCTGACGTGTACCGCTATAAGTAAATATTTAATGTAAGCTATTACGTGACCATGCTATCATTAATTAATAATAAAATTCTAAATAAAAAAAATAAAACCTACTTAAACTTACAAGAAAGTAGACAAATTAATTATTGATTTTTGTAGAGTTCATGTGCTTGTTTGTATTAACATTATTAATTGATGATATCATATCACTTTATCACGTGGTATCACCGTTGTACTGAATATTTTTTTCAAAAATAGGAGTAAATATTGAATGCAACGGTAATATCATGTCACCATTGATGATATGGTATCACCAATCAATAATAAACCCCAAATAAGAAAAATAAATCCTATTTGAACTTACATGACAGAAAAGTGAAGAGTTATTTGTTTACATGTTGACAGGTTAATTATTAATTTTTATGAGACCTATCCGTTTATTTATTTTATTATTATTGACAGTTAATATTACATTACATTGCCACGTGGTATCATTAATATAAAAGATATTTTCTCCAAAAGTAGAGGCCGTGAGCGGCCAGGGTCCGGCTCCTCTACCGATGATAACTTACCGCATACCATGCGACTTAAGAAAATGACAAAATTTTGGTATTATTGCAGCTTTTTTTTAAAAAAACTGTCCATAAACGATGTCGTTTCTGGACTTCCCATATCAGCAAGACAAAAACCCTTTCTTCGTCAATTCTCTGCACAGCCTTCTTTGTCAATTACCCAAATCCCTAACCCTTCTTTTTCAAAATCTCTCCAAATCCCTCCTTCGCCTACAGTCTTCTTCTTCGTCATATGCCATATTGCCAACGTGATGAATATCCATAACGTGTTGAAGGTTGTCAAGATTGCCGAAGTCCCACTTTCATGAAGGTTGATCACTTGCTGAAAATCTATAATTAAAAGGTCCAAATCTCTTTTATTTCCTACATTGGTTTGATTGGTTTTTTTTTTTTTTTTTTATAATTTTCCTGATTTAAATCCCACCTTGATGGGTTTAAATTTTTTATTTTTATTTTTGGTTTATTTTTCTGGTTTTGTAATCTGATTTGTGTGATTAATGGGTTAAATTTTTCTGATTTAAATGTGTTAGATAAACTTAATCATCCTTACTATTATTTAATATTAGTTTGAACTTGTCATTCAGGCTTAATTTTTTTTGTCAACATGACTTCTAGTTGTACCGGAAACGACATTGTTTTTCGACAGTGCTTAAAAAATAAAAAATAAAAAGTCAAAAGAATACCAAAACTCTGTCATTTCATTAAATCGTATGCTATGCAGTAAATTATTAACAATTGAGAACCCGCACCCAATAAAGACTATAGTATCGTTGGCAATATGATACCAAAAATTATAATTTTTTAAAATTAAGTTACCAATACTTCTTACAACTAACTTCAGTAGCTGCACTAAACAACCGAAGATTGATTGTAAAGGTAGCCCAGCCACCCCTCTCCCCTACCCCACCTAGCCACCTACCTACTTGTGTTTATAGCTCGATGAGAGGTTAAAGTTGTGCTCCGATAGAAAAACAAAAATCATCCGTATCAAGTGATATGCAACTACAATAGAGTGCTTCGCCACTACAATAACTGCATATACCGAATTACAAGAGTCGAGACTACTTAGTTGTACTTTCATCCTAAAAGGTCAATTTTTTTTAATTGTAAGCTATAACTTGAAAATGATACGATCAATTACAGGAGGTTGTGATTAATATCAAAATTACAATTTTTAAAAATAAATTTTAAAAGTCAACTTATTATTCTTAAGAGAAGTCACAACTATTCAAAGGAAGCCCATAATTAATCATAAGTGTCACTAATTGATCAATCTTTCCTCCAATAGTTGCAACTTTTTTTTGTGTGTAATTTTATAATAAAAAATCATAATCGACAATACAATACTAAATTTTTTTTTTGGGTATAAGTGACAATTATTCCTTAGCTATGTATAATTTTTTATTGATATGCATATCACATGTGCTTTGTGGCATGTTAAACTTTCACAAAAATTTCTCAGAATCTTGAATATAAGTAAATATTTAATTTAAAAGTTACGCCACATCAGTGTTGTCTCGTAGTGCAACTGTCCAACTATAAACAAACAAGTGAACAACATAAATCTTTTTTTTCTTTCATGAATAATTATTATCTTACATACATTAGATTTTTTTTTTTTATATTTGGTGATTTATCATTTGAATGATTAGACCACATGATATGTACCCATTGCACTTGCATTGAATATTTACTTGTAATATCATATATTCTCAAACCCTAGAAAGCTAAAGTGACCAAAAAATTAGGTCAAACCGATGTGTTTATACTCAACTTGTTCAAATTGTGTTCAAAACTAGAAAATAAATTGAATATATTTTAGATATTTTAGAAATGGTGCTTCAATTTGAATTTTTTTGTCTTCTTGAACTCTTACAACTCTGAAGTTAAATATGCTCAAAATTTGTATATATACTTTTCTGTGTTTAGTTCTACGTCGGTTGCATTAAGAGTTTCAAGTTTATTAATAAATTTACACCCACTCCTCCACACTTTATATCGTTTTGGAGGTGATGTTTAGATTTGAGTTTATTATTTTTCTTGAGATTGAGAGATTACAATATAATGTAGGGTAAAATAAGTTCAAATTTTGTATATATCCCGTTACGTATTTTCATTAAAAAAATTTATAATATAAAATAAGATAAACTTCAATAAATCCATCCAAAAATTTCAAATAGACTCGTTCAACAGCTACATTTCTCTCAAAACCATTCACAATAAATTCTTCCCTTCCCCCTCCCCCTAAAATCCATTACTACACACTTACGTTGCACCGTACCTTCTAATACAGATTACTCCTAGTCAAATATATTGCACCACACAACACAATGCTCGATCAACTCATTTGTACTATAATACATAACCATGTCAAAAATTCAGAAACAACACTTTTAGTTTAACGTCTATCGACAGATTAAAATTGAAGCCCCATTAGATGTGTTTCTCAGACTCACTCGAGCTTTTCGTTGAACATACGATATAAAAATTGAGTTGATGTTGAGCAAAAAGCCAAACTCGATAATTAAACTTAACCTTGTAAGCTTCAAATAATCAATTCGAATTGAATTTGAACATACTAAGGAAAGACTAACCCGGTTTGGAAATCAAGCTAACTCAGATGACTAAAGACTAACCCGGTTTGGAAAGAACTTCTAAACCTCATTTGGATATTTGTTAACATGTGGAGTAAATGTAATGCAACCCATCGGTAACTGTGGTTTAAGAAAGTTCATTTAACACATTCAAACTTATGAATGACATGAGTAGCTAAGGAAATTTATTCATAATTTAGGGTTGGTCATGTCCATTCTTATCATCATCAAGGTTTATATCCATCAATTCTCAGTATCATTCTGATCTTGCACCAATCAACGAACTAGAATCCCCAGAAGTGCGGCGATCAGATTGATTTTTGTAGCTGGTCCTGCTCCCAACAGGAGACGAGATAAACATCTCTACTCCGGGAGCCGATTCAAAACCCATAGGTTGTCGGCATATCACACACAGAAATGTCCAATACATCTAAACAAAACTTATTGAGATTAACCAAATAAATGTTACTCAAGGCGTACCTTTTCGTTATCATAACAACAATGTAAGGACCACTGGCTTCTACATCCTTCCCATTAAGAAGAGGAAATGCTTGATAGGGAAGTATAAAAACTCTCAAATGTCCTATCATGGGGAGGTCCTCAAAGTTGATGGTATGCTGTTGATGAAGTCACCTTGGAACTGATAGACCAAGCTCTAAGAACAGGAGAAATTCAAATCAGAAATCCATTAAAAACAAAAGCAAGGGAAACAAATAAAATTTGATGTTTCAGAGAGCAATTAAATGACAAGCAAAAATAGAACTATCCACGTCCTGCACATTGCATTTGAAAGTTGGAGCATTTGAATGAAGCTTATTGTACCCACCCATTTGCTGATGTCTATCTACGATTTCTAAAGCAACATCTTTGTTGTAATTATCATGAGGTGTTTATTGTGGATATCACATTTTCACGACCAAAATTTAGAGTGTGAAAGTGAAGTTAAAAGCTAAATCATGATTTGATTTTATATATATTCAAATTTCAAACACACCTTAGAAGATACAATCAAACTAAAACCGAAATGAGATAGTAAGTTCTTCGGAAGCTGCTGGCGCTGCACTATGGCCTTGACTACTCTCAAAGGAGGGGAATCTAATTTTAACAAACTCATATATGTAATAAAAAACTCAAACAATCCCTACTATGATCTGATCAATCTTGTGATGCACAATGGCGAATTTGAAAAAATAATTATCAGCCCAAGATTAGAGAAAATATGCGTAGAATTCATGAAGACAAGCAGCCTAAAAATGCTTGACAGGCCTACCTTTAAAACAGCACTAAGCCAAAGGTTTCACGTACCATCAAATCCATCTGGGAAAAGCAGCAATCCCATCATACATTGTATTCATTATTATCTACAGACAAATAATTTAATTTTCAAGAAAATAAAACATAGTTGAGACTATCTCTCTCATTCGTATTCCATCTTCGGTTATTGTAAATTTTTCCGTCTTGTATTTGGGGAGAAGGTGAGGAAAGGGGTGATCCATAATCCAATAACAAGGGGAATTCTCAACCTTAGTGTGATGACCTTTGGAGCATGCGGTATGAAGATAAGAGTAAATTTGTGATCTTCTTTTGATGTTTGATTTAGGTTAATTAGCTGCCAAAAAAATTAGCTGTTTCAGTAATTGTTGGGTCTCACTAGGGATTATTTTGCTGGGAGAAAAAATGGGAAGAGGCGACCAGCGTAGCAACCCCCCTGGGCGTGACCAAAGGGGTTCCCACCCACTGCAGAATGTCCGGTTTGAGTCCTAAATGTCTCAATAGTTTTTGCAATTGAAATCATGACTCAAATAGCATTAGGAGAATTCAACTGCTTATTAAAATAGAAAGCACTTTTGCAATTCAATAATCACAACCCACAATAACATTGATCACAATGATAAATTGAAACCAAAAGTAGAAATTCCCAATTTTGACGAAAAAATTACCAAAACAACAACCCTAACAATCAAATTAACAATCCAAACTTAATGTCAGCAATGGTGATAACAGAAAAACAATATAGTATGATTACTATGATATAAAACGAAGCAGTGATTGCTCATAGAGTTTAAAAACACTAAAAACCAGAAAACCCTAGAGGCCAGGATAGGTGGTGCAGAAGAGAGTACCATGTGATAGAGCTCGGCAACTCCTCGAACGCTCACTAAGACGCGAATTTAGCCTCGCTACAGCCACCGCACTGTGCAGTGGCAACAGAGACTGAACGCATCCGAGTCGCTCCACCGGAGACCTATCAATTCAAGATTCGTACAAAAAAGTTATCGGCAACCAAACACGGGGTTAAGAAGAAAATCGGAGAAGACATAAGCATTAATATATTAGTGTGGCAAGTACTAACTTGGTGATCGATGAGAATCGAGGAACAGCGGGTAATGGCGGAGACGACGACGTCGTTGTGGAACCTTTGGAGGAAAAGGTTCGAGAAGGCTTTGTTTTACTAATGGCGGATTTGAGAGATGAGAGAGACGATGAAACTCTACCTATCACACGATTGCAAGTCGAAGCCATCCACTGATTTGTGTGTGCGAAAGAGAAAGAGAAAGAGAGAGAGAAAGAGAGCGGGAAGGCTAGTTTGGAGGGGTTTGCAGGAGAGGGTTTAGGAGGTGGATCGCCTTTGCCTCAGAAAGGCGTTATCGATCGTCCGATCAGATCTTGAATACATTAACGTACGGGATGAGCATGGTTTCCATTTATCTAAATAAGATAGTTACTACTTTAAATTTTATTTTCACATATATCATTCAATTTTAAAAAATTTAAATTATTTTATTTTTAAATTAATTTATATTTCAAACATTATGCATATACGATATTATACACATATTAATTTTTTTAGGTAATATAGTTTTTTAAAAAATTGTCAATTTTTTTAAAAAAATAACGATAAAAATTAATTTTAAATTATATAATTAAACAAAAAGACAGAAAAAAAAATTACTATTTAATATAGTCCGATTAATCTTTTAGGTGCTCGGATTTTAGTTTTCGTTGTGCCTACAGCCACAAATTATAACTAGTTCATAAAGATTATATGTCATAACTTTAAATTTGAGAATTAATTTATTCAGAAAAGTATGATATAAACTTATATACTTATTATTTATTTTTATTGTAAAATCTTGTGTACTGAATAAAATTTTCTGCTCAATTGAAAGCTCATTAGTTCTTTTACAATTATCATTAGTCCAACAAATTATCAAGTAAAAATGTATTTTTTTTTTCAATTTGTGATTATTTTGCCCTTAATTGGGTAATGTTGCCCATTGTCTTTCCAAACAAAAGTCTAATTGATAAAAAAAAAAAAAACCTAAGAGTCTAATTTTTTTGTAAATTACTATATTAAAAAAATTGAATAAAAATATAATTAAGTAAATCTAAATCCGGCCCTGAACCGATCAAGCTTTTCATTCTAATAAACAAAATATACAGTCTATCCGAAAAAGGGTACAACCTATGATGCCATACAATGATAATAGTACCACAAAACTTCCATCCAGCCTCCTGCATCCAAAAACTTTGAACCTTCCTTCAGGAAGCTAAACAATATTCACTCACACACAACCCAATTCTCCTCCTTTCTGACTTTCATCTTTGGTGAGGCTTACCATGTTATCGATTCAAAGAATTGTTATTCATTCAGACATAACCTAATCAACCTCACTCTGACTTTCATCTTTGACGAGCCTTACCATGTCATCAATTCGAAGAATTGTTATAGCTGCTTCAGTAGCAAACTGGGAAAAAAAATTGCAGAACAATTTGGATTAGGTTATTTTTTGGTAGTCTGATAAACATTATTTTTACTCATATTCAAGATTTACCTGTAATATCTTTACTTTGCTCATTGCAGGCTCAAAAACTCCGGCTTCCAAGTTGTTAGGGACAGTTCCCTTCACTAGGTCTAGTCCCATGCTGCAGTGGTGAAAATGTAATCTTAATAAGAAGGGCACTTGAAAAGCTAAGATTCAGCAAACTCTGCAATTGCCAGCTGCTCCCGAGATCCTAAGGTAGTGGCTAGATACTCCAAATAAACAGATAAGGCAGCCTCAACTGCACCACCTCCAGCAACAGCCTGTTTTGCCACAGTTCACAATGGTGAGGGGCACGATGGACATAAGAAGAACTGTAATTAACACTACAAAAGCTATCCCACATAAGTTTCCAGATTTTTCCTTAGCTATATAAACACCAAAAGTTAAAGTAGTATGAAACCGTAGTTTCATGGTATTAATCAATCTCATGATTAAAACACCATAGGAAAAAAATATACAACTGACAAGTAGTTTGACATCCAAAGTTCAAGGCACAAAAAGAACAACACTGGAATTATACTAACATTACAGAGAAGGTTCAACCAGTAAATGGATTCCATATTTAAATCTTTTTGGTAAATTATGCTTGTATCTTAGAAGTGACATTTGAAGTAAAAGCACAACTTTAGTTCTCCAAAAAACAAGGACAAGTACACTACAAGTGCTGGAATTTACAGTATTGGATTACAGGGTCCTCTTAACAATGCATAGGACATCATGCAAAGCCCTCTCCATTTCGTCAAGCATAAAGTCATTTGCACCTCTGAGTATCACTGAAACCTGAGAAAAACATACTGAGAAGGTTAAGACAATCACCCAATCAAATCATTTAACTTTCAAGCATAAATTTGCATCGCCGTGCAGTAATATAAAGCCAATGAGCAATGCAACACAGCTGAACAATATGAACAAGGCTACACCACCTATAACAATATCATGATTGCACAGATAAGGTATCCAACAACGAATAAGAGAATTTTGGTCAGGAACAACATTCCATATGAAAGAATAACATACCGCACTTGTAGTTTTGGTCCCTTGTACCATAATAACGTCATAATCAGCAATGCGCTCCTCCATCACTTCATCTGCGGATCCAAGAAATGACGAATCAAATGTTTCCTCTCCTTCCATATCAGCAAACGTTAAAACCTGCATGCCAGAAAGGACAATACAAAGGTCGGACACACATTTGAAATATCTACCTAGCATTACATATAAAGCCAAGAGTAATTCATTACATGTCGACAATATCCCTACCACCTTAATAATCAATTGGAAAAAATATTTAATTTTTTGCCATTCTAATTTGTCAATAGCTATACAGCTTACCAAGTTACGAGTAAAAGGATAAAACAAAGTAACATCTATTCAGATGGGAAAATTGCGCTATGATTTACATTATCTCTCTCTCTCTCTCTTCCCCCACAAACAGAAACCTATTTATCTCCATTTTCAAATTTCATGTGTCACCTTCTAGTCTGAAGAATAAAAAAGCTGCATATATCAGTTGGAAGATGGACAACTTTAAGATTTTACATGTTTAGAAATCTAAAGCTAATAGAATAGGGAATACAATGAAATACGAAAGGTTTCTAGACCAATCATAAGGGCTATATGTTATGTCAGATAAATAGTTCAGAAAAATACCACAGTTGCACCCGTAGCCTTCGCAACATGGCGTAAATCCTCTTTCCGGACACATCTCACGACAACTGCACCAGTTTCCACGAAGTACTGGCCCAACATCAAAGTAACAAAATTCAGACAGTCATCCATTAATCCAGAACTGTACACAGAAAACTATCCATAGATGATACCTCATGCAATAACAGTTATGGGCATGAGCTATGTTTTCTCACAAAGAACAAAAGAACTACTACAATATCACATGATCCCGAAAATGCTGCCCTCATATCATCCTCCATCACATGGGATAATTGACAAGCCATTTCAAGCACAGATTGTATTTTGCCACTTGCTTTACTCCATTGTAAAGAAATAGATATTTGAAAACTTCACTAACTTGTCTTCCTAATGAGTGATGGGTTTAAGCTTTAAGATGGATGGCACACACCACCAAGTTTACTAACACAGCAACAAATGAACTAGAGCATCAGATGGCAAACATAGAACTAAGACATGCAGAGTTTTTAAAATCGGGATCCTATCTAGGATCGATGGGGTAGGCAGCAAGATCAGAATCGTAGGATCGGATCAAGAATTGTAAGATTCTATCAGTTGAGAAAATGAGATGAAAAACATATGTAACAATACAAAATTCTCAAAAACAAGAATTAAGCAAGCCTAGTATATATGCAAATAGAAATATTATGCCTAAAATAGAACTTAAGATATGATTGAGATTTGATGAATTACATTTTGAGTATTAAGAGGGTCTAAAATCAAAGATGGACAGTTAATCTTGTAGGATTTTACAAAGAGTAATAGAAGAATTGAAGTATTTTCATCTTAACTTTCAGAAAAAGAGATACGGAGAAGAGACTGCAAAGTTGAAAGACTGCTGAATAATAACATTGACAATTCGACATCCAAACAAAAAAACAAAAAAGAATAAAATGAAAGACTATCCGAATATTTAATCATTAAGACATTTTAACACAGTTTTTCATACGTTTGAAGTTTCTCAGAGAACAGCTGCATGGGGAGCATTACCTTCACAGCCAGTTTGTCATCAATATACTTGCATGCTTCCCTTATAGCAAGCTGCAAAAATAAGAATAAAATTACTTCTATGGATGCCCGCATAGGATTTAAATTTCTTTCTGCTTCTTTTGGGGATGGGGTGGTGGGGTCAGAAAATAAGATCTCAAAACCGAATACTCACTCTGTATCCACTAATTATAGATGTCGGATGAATCTTATTTCTCACCAAGTCATTTTCTCTCTGCAATTACTAATGATTAAATTAGGAATTCGAATAAGCATATCTCATTTCTATGATGCAAACAGTTCAGTGATATTACCCTGAGCAATTCTGCAGCTATAATTACCACAGAAGTCGTCCCATCTCCGACTTCTCGGTCTTGAATCTCAGCCAACTCAACAAGGACCTATTAGTAAAAATATATGTGGGAAAACTTAGAGGGAAGTAAAAGAATGGTATGAGCAAAAAGAGGTGATAGCCTTCACCATCACGACTGGATGCTCAACTTCTAACATCTTAAGTATTGTAGCACCATCGTTGGAAATTGCTACATCGCCAATATCATCAACTAGCATCTGAAATAAAAAAGTAACTCAAACACCACAAGAATCAGGGCAGGGATACACATACAACCTCAATCTAAACTTGAAAAATAGCATATCAGAAATATTTGAAGATTTCCAAAGAAATGCTACTGATGGCTATACAACTTTGTCTAACAAGTTAATAGATAGTATATTTTACCTGCCACATGCATCTCAATTAGCAAATGTACACACCCAAAACAAGTGTAGCTATTCGACTGGCAAAGGTCCAATTTATTCTAATAGTCAATTTTCATACGCAAACATCTTTAATTAAGTTGGCACAGTTTAAAAAGGATAAATATCAAAGAAACTTTGAAAGGATAGACATAGAACAGAGGCACTACTCTCTTATTCAACATTTCTATTTTAATCGTCAACTAATCAACTCTTTCCCCATGCCAATGAAAATATAGTATTGCATCCTTTTTGCATTAAAAGCTTGGAATTGTTGCTTATATTAGCCTTGTATTGTATGACTGTTCCTTGCAGGATCTCTTCCTAAAATCAAAACAACCTCCATCGCTGCTCCCTTCCCTCCTCTTTATCTTTCTTTCACACACATACGGCTTTCATAAGAACTCAAAAGCTACATTTAAGTATACATAATGTAAAAAGGGTTTACCAAAAACAGCTGAATGTCTTAGCAAAATTTAATTAAATCTAACAATTTTTCACTTTTTTCTCCAAAATCTTACCCCGCCAACCACATCCAGCCAATATGCTCAATTAGCTTAGGCCCTGCTTGGATTGTATCTCCAAAACAGGTTTTTTGATTTCTGATACAGAAAACAAGTGAAAATTTGTTTGGACAATCTATTTTCCAGAATAATTTGGAAGAATGGAAGACACGGAGAGCACGGAGAGCAGCCAATTTTTCATTAATGAGATCTCCTCTTAAAATCTTCTTAGCAACAAAATATATCCAACTATATAAAAACTTTTTTTATTGCCTTTCTCTTTTTTTTTTGGCTTTCTCTCTCCACACTCCGGCGATACCAGACAAAAGGAAACACGTCTGGGTTCAGATCTGAGTTTGCTCCGGTGTAGGCTCCAACGTCAATTCCAGTGTCGGCACATTTGGGTTCAGATTTGGCTTTTCATCAGATTTCTCCAGGTTGGATCAGCTTCCTGTGGATGTCCGTTTCAAGGTGAGGTAGGATCAGAGATGCCTACCTGTTTTGCGAACTCGAGCTGCTCTGGTTTATGATGATCATGGGAAAAGCATCTTGATGAGGGGAAAGCTCTCTGATTTAGTTATGATGATATATATATATATATATATATGAGTGAAAAAAAAATTATTAGTGTTTATATATTTTTTCTGTGGAATTTGTTTAGTAACGGTGATTGATATATTTTTTTATATTGATTTAATTTTTAATGAAGATTATTGAATATGTTTAGTTTATTTTAAAGTTTAATTTATTGAATATTTTTATGAAATTGTTCATTTAAAAATAATTTTTTTTATTAATTTTTAAATTACTATTCAAATATATATTTAGGTTTTTCAAAGATTTTACTATTTTTTATTTGATAAAATTATTTTTGAAATTATCTAATCAAACAAGTTTTTTATCTCAAAAAATATCATGACACATTTTTTAAAATTTATTTTAAAAATTTTTTTTGAATACTATTTTTTAAAACGTAAACCAAACTTCACTTTTTAAAATCTAAATGCGCAGGATTCCTCAAAAGACACTTTCCTAACCCCTTGGTATTAAAACCACTAGAAGCTCGAAGAACTGCAGAATAACACAAGTAAAAGAAGCAAAGTCATCGAGCAAATGCTGGACTCACATAAACTACTCTGTGGATTTAAGTTTCTACAAACAGTCCAAAAAAATCCAACAGTTTCTACTTCACGGTACTTTCTAGCAACACCCGCATTTTCTTTCGGAAAAAATAACATGTCAGTGCCGGTCGCTATCCAAATGACTAAACAAATACTAGCTAACGGACCGAGTCCCCACCAATAACTACGAGTGCTCAGGATTGGATACTCTATCAAATGCCAATTAAGTGTGGAAGATTTCAAAGAATGCAAACAGGACCGAGTGAGGCCTTCACAATGTTTGCAACTGCGTGACACACCATCACTGCACATTCCACCACATAGCGTCTTCAAATAGACAATTTACACGATTTATACATATATTTATAGAGAGAGAGAGTATCATTTTGGATCCGAACGTCTTGTCCAGATTAGCGATCCCCTAGTATATCAAGAGTTTGGGAATAAATCGCCATTGTCCAATCAAATCCACGGAAACTTCAAATGATAACCGACGGAAAAACTCTATAAGATGAATCGGAGACTCTAAGCAAGCAAGGTGCGACAAGTTTGATTATTTACAGTTACAGTTACAACCCTATAAGATGTAAACAGAGGGTTTATGGTTTTGAAAGTTTTTGAAACTCTACGACGTCGTTTCTTGAGTGACTTAGCATTTGTAAACTTGGGCCGGATTTCCTTTTTATTATGGCGTTATGAGCCCCACGATTGTTCGCTTAAGATGGCACAACTAATTCCTCCCAAATTCATGGAATTTAAGGTTTTTTACATTTTGTACCTCGAAAGATATTAATATTTTTATTTTGTACCCTAAAAAATATTTTTTTTCATATTATACCCTCATTGTTCTAAATTGGTTGCAATGTGACCCCTCACACTAATGGCCGTCTCTCTTTCCGTTAAATCTTGCTGCACATGTGAAGCACATGTTTTGCTCATGGACAAAATTGTAAAAACATATAAAAAAACATATTATTCTTAAACAAAACTCACTAATCCGATCATTCAAATTAATGTAATAAACAAAATAGAATAAATTATTTGATAAGTACGACATCCGAGTAAAATATGTACCACTATTAGAAAACACAAATACCTTGAGTCATAGTTGAGGTCCATGCAACAACTATAATATTAGAGTTTTTATTATTGACTAAGTTCAGAATTATTTTGTATAGCTTTCGGGCATCCATCAAGCCTCCGTCTTTTCTTTGTACTCTTCCCCCCCTCCCCCCCCCCCCCCCCACCACGCCAAATCTCAATTTGTATTTGGCCAAAATCAAAAGAAGAAACGAATACGATGCGCCTGCCTTTTAAGAAAAATAGAATAGAGAATATGTGACCAAATTTTTGAATAGTAAAGTCAATATGTTACATTGACTTTTTGTATTGTAGTGCATAGATATAGATACATAGGGGTAACATGGAGTTAGGAATAGGTTACATCATAATAAAAGGAATAAAGAATTGGTGCCCCAATGCAAAATAAAAATTGAAGGAGAGGCTTATAACAAACTCTTCTCATTTTTAAGGAAATTTTATGATTTTTAATTAACAACTGGAATATGACACAATTCTAATATGTCATGATTTAAAATGTAATGACATAATTTGATTGGGACCACTAATATAAGGGAAAGTCTACGGGACGTACCAAAAAAAAAATCGATACTTATATCACTGATTACTATTTTTTTGGGTAAAATTATAATTTTAAAATGAAAAGTTACAACTAGTTGAAGGACATGATCGATCATGAACTCTTGATATCGATCTCAACTTTCTATGATTAATCATACCTTTTGAAATTATAACTCAAGTTTCAAAAAAATTGTAACTTAGTTTTAATAAATTATAATTTTCGATACGATATCGTCAATGGTACCACAGTCTTTCCCTTAATATAAAATAAAACTTGGTCACTTTCAAAATTAGAATAAGAAGTGACACTTTAATGGTGACTTGTCACAAGTTGCATGGCTCTCCCTCCATAAGTTAGGGGGTTAGGAATAAATTCTCACAGATCCGAATCGTTATTGATGTGTTCATGACAAGGATGGAATTAGTATTTGTCCCTCCAGCTTCCTTTAATTATTTGTTCATTAATTTTCTTTCTTCTTATGTACAATACCGACTTCAAGAATCTAATTACTTTAAGTTTTTTAAGTAAATAATTATTTAATAATATAAATGAACTTTTCGAACATTTTGCACATCATAGTCGACAATTTGGAAAAATTCAAGGCTCATTAAAACTAGTTTCTTTTTTCTTAAATTTGGTGCTTGACTAGCTTATAAAATTCTATAATAAATTCCATTAAAAAATAATGCAATTTCTTCTAAAATAATAAATAGATGACACTAAGTAAATCAATGGAGGCCCCGACATATCCTCCTCTTCCATCATGAAAGGGAGTGGCTGTAAGGCCATGGTCCCACGTAATGCTTATCAGGTCTCTTCCCTTGGATATCAAGGATCTCATGAAATTTTGATACGTGTAAAAGGTTTTTTTTATATATTATTTTAATATAAAAAACAATTGTTACAGACGAATTAAACTAAAATCTACCTCTCTCTGTCAACTTTCATGTATAACCATATTTTTTGTGAGCAACATAGACTTACCACACAGGAAAAATTCGTGCACCACCAACTTATATAAAAATGTACGGAAGTACATATATCATGGGTCCCACCAAAGTACCATATATATATATATATATATATATATATATATATATATATATATATATATATATATTTTAACAATGAGAAAGTGACACGTAAAAAAACTTATCTTACTTCATTAATTGATTTTTTTTTTACGATCAATTCTACAAATAAATTAAAACAAGGTCTACGAACCAAAATAAATTTTCATAAACCTAGATTTTTAAGACAAATGTAGATAGTTGTTGGATAAATTTATTTAAAATTTATCGTATTTTATATTATAAATTATAGATACAATACATTGTTATCTTTCCCCAATGACGGGAACTATGTATAGGCTGGCCCCTTGACATTTTGAAAAATCATCATAGACACCACCATATTTTTTAGAAATTTTTAATGCCACCTCTTAGGTTTTTAAAAAGTTCAATGTATAAGTATTTCACTTAGTATACTCAAAAAGATTAATGACTTGATATTTGAAAAACCAAATGTACGTGGATGCTATAACATGAATGAGTGATGTTCTTATTGATGAAGACAATTATTTGGATGATTCTAATAACTAAAATAAGTAAAAATTTTCTAAAATCGACTTACAAATGTGGCTTATCTCAAAAGTAATCCATTGACTCATGTTTTATTTTACGAGAATAATTTATTTATAGCCATAAGTTTATATCATAAATAAGAAAAAACAGAGAGCAGTGATATTGTCACAAACTAATTTTTGTGACCCAAATTAATTTTGTATGATGACATTGTATAAAATCAATTTTAATAAGTTCTTTATAAATTAAAATTGGCCGTCAATTATAATTGTGGAATAGCTTTGTTGAATAAAATTTGTATATGTTATAGTTTTGGTGTCCCTCAAAATAAAATTTTGATTTCATCCCCGTCTTTCCCTTTCTTGCTTACACCAATTTCCACCCCTCCCCCCCCTATTTAGCATGTGTTGATGGCTTTCTTAAAAGGTTAATTAAAATAGGAACGTACTTTGGACTCACAATATTCTTCAATTCCCCACCACAATTAATCAAATGGCAATTACGCAATTGATCATTTTTTTCCTGGAAGTATCGTGTAATTTTGCTGTTTTTCTTTTCTATTTTGAGTTTTTTTAAGACAATTCTCCACGCAATTCAAACGATTCCTTGCACGATTTTGCTTTTTAGAATTGGTTCTTTTTTCCATCCCACTCTTTCCTAAGTTTTTTAATTCATAATCATATTCAGTTTACTTTTTCTGTAAGATATTTTCTCTCATTTTTAAGGTTTCTATTCTTATTTCCCATTCTTCTGTTTTTTCTTTCTCTACATCTTTTTCCTCTCTTTCTTTCTCCTCTATTTCCATTTAATTTACTAGTTCTAAGATTGCCATCTCTGTTTGTTGTTTTTCCCAATTTATTAGAGTTATTGGCTACTACTAACTACTTTTTCCTGAAAGAAAAAATAAAAAAGTATTTCTTACTTCATCCCACTTTTATGTAAATGAAGTATAATAGAGCTCGTATCATGTCGGGTTAGTACTACATATACGTACCATGTCACACGTGCAAAAATTAGAAATTAAAAATTATCACATTGAGAATATCATACATATTAATTTGCAAACATATTATGGATTAGTACACTCGTTACTCTTTAATATTGAGCGAGATAGTTTAACCATGTTTATTAGGATAGTCGTACTTCAATATGAAAGTAGTGTTATGTCATTATTGCTGCATACTAACACCGCCACCCGTGAATGATAAACTATTATGTAAATTGATGAATCAAGAATATGTTAATGGGGATAGTCACTAAAGCACGACAGATGTGATAGTTATTGAAATGTGTGTGATTCATTTTGTTTCAAATATAATTAAATATTAATAATAAATAATATTATTGGTACTTAATTTACTAACTTAATTTATTATAATTTTTGAATTGATTGTGGGCTCCATCAAATATTAAAATTAAAATTTGAAATTAATTCAATAGTTCTAATAAAATCATGTCATTATGTCAAATTTTTATGTTCAAATAGCATTTTTCATTAATAATGTCGCACATGCAATGATAATTATAGTGTACTGTCCTTATTAATCTCAATATTTACTAATTGGTGGACCCCACGAACTAGCCTGTCTCACAATGTTTGAAAAAGAAATAAAAATGAAAGAAATTGAAAGATTTTTTTTTTTTTTTCAAACAGTTAGAGGTTTTTGGGTTCAACTAATTTCTTCTTCGGTCTAATTAAAGATAGATTATTTACGTCGGTACTAAGATATTTATAATAATAAATTTCTCATACTATAATTTTAATGAATTACCAAGATTCAATTTCAAGAGATATGAATTTATAACTCGTAATTATTTTTATAAATGAAGAGGGTGGTCTAAAGACATCGGACATAAATAGTAATAACCCTTCTGAACGTTATCTTAAAATTCTCGTCTAATTGTAGATTGTTGGGTTTGTGTTTTACAACCGGAATTAGTAAGATACGAAAGCGAAGTCTAACATTGGGAGGACAGAACAGTCATTTTACTTCTAAATTAAGGTTTACAGCGCTCTCTCAATAACTGAAAACGACTGCAAGCAACCTGTGGTCTACCTGTATATATCCCTTACACACACAATAATATATTAATTAACATATATATATATATATATCAGTAATATTAGAGATTAAATTTTAAAATTAAATTTAGAGTCCAAATGGCATGACAGTTGACTTGAACTTCTTTGATTGGTGTCATGTCATTTGACCTCAATAAAAATTTTAAATAATCAATTGTCATGTCATTTAAACTCTAAATTTGATCTTAAAATTAAATTAATCTAGTATTAATCTAAATATATATACATACGCGCACATATATATATATATATGAGACGTTCACCGACTCGATCTATTCGTCCTTTCCGTGTTCCTCTCTCTCTCTCTCTCTCTTGGTTATCTTCTTGGGTTTCTCTATTTTGTGTTTTCAATTCAAGCTTTCAACAATGGCGGATCTTGAGACTGTATGCTGTATGTGTGGCGACATAGGCTTTCCTGACAAGCTCTTCCGCTGCAACAAGTGCCACCACCGCTTTCAACACTCGTACGCCACATCATCATCATCATCATCATTTTCACAATCATCATTCACATATATATATAAACATGCATACATACATATATATAATTCTGTATGACCCAATCACCAATACAACATGAGATCATTCTTGGCACATACCCATCTTGAATTTCATGGTTTCATAGATACCCATATATGTGCAACAACACCCCCCCTCCTCCTCCACCACCATGCTCTAGGAAGTAGGAACCATCTAGGGTGTTTAGTAGTTGATATTGATGTGATTCAGTTGATTCAATTGAGTTGTATTAGATTCAACATTTTTTTTTTTTGGGTCCGACAACACTTTTTTATGTAAATCACAAATCTTACTTACTCTGATTATATCATTTAAGATATTTTTGAGTTGATTACACTGTCAAGTACTTGTCGATCAAATCAACTCTATTATTCTCCAACATCTCGATATGACTTTCTTTATATTGACGATTAAACATAATTCTTCTAGTTAGCATTTTATGAGTACTTGTCGATATACCTTTCTGTAATTAATACGTTTTATTACTTTTCGGATCGAAGTCACAAACCGTGACCTCAAACAATAGGTCTAGCCCACCAACCCCGTTAAGTCTTATAAACAATGACAACATCATGGTCATAATGATATCTATGATCTGGTAGTCCTATTATTTTATGGTGACAATAATACCATGTGCTTTTGCTCTTATATTTGGATGAATTATATATATAATGCTTAAACACTTCATCAATTCGTAGGTATTGCAGCAACTACTACACTGAATCAATCAGGTCGATTGAACAATGCGACTGGTGCCAAAGTGAGAAAAGAAGCACAAAACATGGTGGTTCTGCAAAGAAATCAGTGGCCGGAGATGAAACCGCCACCACAACCAGTAGATCAGAGAACCCCGGCTACAAGATCAAGCGACATGATCGTGAAGGGAGCTCCGAGAAGGGAAAAAGTTCGAGCGGCTTGCCTTCGCCGCGGACTGCTACTCGGCGGTACAAGCTTCTCAAGGATGTATTGTGTTGAATCAAAGACATGATCGTCGCATCGAAGGCTTTGTGAATTTAGTCATAAGTACTTAATTATGACCTTTTTTCTTTTTTTGGACTGAAAAGTTTTATGTGTGCTATGGTTCTTAGTAACTCTATGTATTGGATCGGATTTGAATGAGTTTCTTGCCATTCTCTCTTGTTTTTGTGGTACTATTTCATTTTTGGATAAATAATATTCAGACCCTCTGATATTTGGTTTTATTACAATGGCACTCTCTCATATTTTAAAAACTACATTAAGACCCCTTGATATTTCAACATGTGTAACGGTCACACCCTTTATGTTTGACAAACGCAAAACAAGTAACGAGATAAGATGACATTATCTACAAAATTCAACATAATACCCCAAACACCCTTGTACCATATTATACTCTCTATCAAACAAATAAATAAAATATTGAAATTGCAAGTATACACATATTAGGATGAAGTTCATCCTAATAATTTTTTATACAAATTAAATTAGTTAATTGTTTATAATTTAATCCAAACGTATTACATAATTTTTCATGCATGATTAAATTTACTACTCAATTAATTAATTGTTTATAACAATAGATTTATTTACGAGTTATATTCTCAAATTATTAATTAATTTGATAGTTAATTATGTTTACAAATTAAATAAGTAAATCCAAACACCACCGTCATCACTGTGCCTTTCATCAAAGTCTCCCACCCTCATCTCCTTCATCGGACCAAGCACTAAAAACACCCCCAACAACCACTTCCACTCACTACTGAAACTAGATGAGAGAGAGAGAGAGAGAGAGATGGTGATATCAAATGTGGGTGGGCCTCTGTAGTGGAATATTGGTTAGTGGAGGTGTTGGTTGTTAGATCCGCAGTTGCGTTTGGATTTTCAGCGGCATTGGTAGTGGATATGTAGTGGGAAGGTAAGGGTGGTGAGGGGTTAGTGTTGTGTCACTAGGTGTTAGGAGCACACACAAAGAGAGAGACGTGGGCGAGGGGTCTGATTTTTCTAATTTTTTAATTAGTTAAATGTAGGGTAAAATTGTCTTTTTATTAATACTGTTAACGACCTTTATTTATTGTGATCTCAGCGTAGTTTTTGAAATGTGAGGAGTCCGGATAAAATTTACCCTACAATTTTTAATGTGAGTAGAAGTACTGTGATCGTTCTTTCTCCTTGATCAACACATAATCCCCCATAGCCCCTTCGTGCATGAGAATGTTGCGGTAGCTCGGATGAGAAGACGTATCTCATGGGAACATCATAAATACGGCTACGCACATCATTCAAGGTGATTGCACGAGTCATGTGTTTCTATTTCATGGAATGCAATTTGAAAACATATTTAAGGACATGGATGGTGGGTGAAAGAGAAATTTACCAAAAAAACAATCAAAAAAATTATTTTTTCAGTAACCTGATTTTCTTGATATGGAAGGGTTTGTCTTTGTCTGCACTTGGTTGCTTTTTTTTTTGTTTACTAGTCAAGGATATCTTGTTCAGCTTTCGTGTATCTCGACTAATCTCTTTTATTGTCCAATCAAAGGCAGGTCATCCACGATGATATTATAATATTTATAAAAGATAAATCTCTCATAACCTGACCTTAAGATATTGTCAAAATTTCAACTCTGAACATCTAAATTTACAATTTATTTCTGTTACCACTTGATTGCTTATTTGCCAAAGAACCCATACTACCTAAAGTTGGTAACTTCTCATATTCATTGAAAGTATTTATGAGTGTTAAACTTATGAGAGAAAGGGAAGAAGGCTTGAATTCTCTTGTGTATTTATTGTAAAGATACAGCTAGATATATATACATGGAGAAGGAGACAAAATCTCTAAATCAATGCTAAAATTCCTAGACAATAGCACACGTGAATGACCATGGATTGGTCAAGATACTCAAAGCAAGGAAACTAAATATATTCCTAAACTATACATTGAATGTAAATATATTCTTAATGATACATTCCTAATACTCCCCCTCAAGTTGGAGCATGGAGATCCGCAATGCCCAACTTGTGCGATAAATCTTGGAATGGTTCTCGACCCAAAGCTTTAGTAAAAATATCCGCAAGTTGACTCTGAGAAGGGACATGCATAGTGGAAATGAGACCAGCCAGTATTTTTTCACGAACAATGTGACAGTCAATTTCGATGTGTTTGGTTCGTTCATGGAACACAAGATTTTGAGCAATATGAAGGGCTGCTTGATTGTCACAGTAAAGCAACATAGGCTGAGGATGTGGCACACAAAGATCATGTAAAAGAGTTTTGAGCCAAGTGAGTTCACATGTAGTAGAGGCAAGAGCTCGATATTCAGCTTCTGCAGAAGAGCAAGAAACTGTAGGTTGTTTCTCAGTACGCCAAGAAATAGGACTAGTGCCAAGCTGAATAAAAAAACTTGTGGTGGAACGACGAGTGACTGGGCAACTAGCCCAATCCGAGTCAAAATAGGCCGAGATTTGAAGAGTATTGGCAACGGGAAATAATAAGCCTTGACCTGGAGATGCTTTAAGATACCGAAGAATACGTACTGCAGCATCATAATGAGGTTGTCTGGGCTGGTGCATGAATTGACTGGAAAAACAATATCTGGACGTGTGATGGTCAGATAGATCAAACGACCAACAAGACGTCGAAATGAGCTTGGATCAGATAGGAGATCACCTTCAGAATCATTAAGCTTGAGATTTTGTTCCATGGGAAAGTGAGCAAGGCGTGCACCAAGATGACCACTATCAGTGAGGATGTCAAGAGCATATTTCCTTTGATTAAGGAATATGCCAGTTGGAGAGCGAGCGAGCTCAAGTCTAAGAAAATATTTTAGTTGGCCAAGGTCTTTAATCTTGAACTTCTGACCAAGGAAGGACTTGTATTTGTTAAGTGTGGAGAGATCCTAGTCGGCCATGAGAATGTCGTCACATAAACAAGGATGAGAGTGAAAGATTGACCCCGATAAAGTATGAAGAGTGAGTAGTCTGCTTGAGACTGTTTGAATCCTGCAATGAGTAACACAGATGATAATTTGGAGAACCAATTTCGAGATGCCGGCTTGAGTCCATAAAGTAATTTTTGAAGACGACAAACACGAGTCTCCCCCTGCATGCAATAACCTGGTGGTAGTGTCATGTAAACCTCCTCATCGAGGTCACCATGAAGGAATGCATTGGTGACATCTAATTGAAGAAGGTGCCAATTTCGAGCTGTAGCTACTGCAAGAACACACCGAACAGTAATGAGTTTAGCAACAGGAGCAAAAATGTCATGGTAATCGAGGCCTTCTACCTGAGTGTATCCTTTGGCCACCAAGCGAGCTTTGTGTCGCTCTATGGATCCATCAGCCCGAAGTTTCGTTTTGAACACCCATTTACAGCCAATTGATTTTTTATTAGGTGGAAGTGGTTGGAGAATCCAAGTGTGATTAGCTTCCAAGGCTTGAATTTCAGCAACCATGGCATCATGCCAATGAGGGTAACATACAACTTAAGAATATGAAGTAGGTTCGGGGTGTTGTGAGAGGGTAGAAAGAAAAGTCAAGTGACGATTAGAGAAACGATGATAAGATAAAAAAGAGGAGAGACAATGAACTGTACCTGAGGAGGATCTTGAAGCAGTTGAAGCCGTGGAGGACTGAGGACATATGTAATCATTGAGGTAAGATGGTCGTTGGACAACTCGCTTTTGTCGTGAGAGAGTGTTAGAGAGTGGCAATGGGTTAGGTTGTGGTTGTGCCGAGGGAGAAGATGAGGATGGAGAGGGAATAGATGTGGCTATAAAAGGGGTGTGGATATTGGTGTCGATGAGTGGGAGGGAAATAGGGGAGGCGGTAGTTGTCTATGCAGGAACAGTGGAGGGAGAGGGGGGCTCGGGAATAGGGAGAGGAATGACTGGGGAACATGTCAGAGGTGGAGACAAACGGTGATAGGGAAACACAGTCTCTTCAAAGGTGACATCTCGTGAAATTATGAGTTTTTTATTTTCAAGATCATATACACGATAAGCTTTATGATGGAGAGGATAGCCTAAGAAAACACATCTAAGGGCTCGAGGGGAAAACTTATCGCGATGTTGTTTGCCTGTTTGTGCGTAACACAAACATCCAAATACTCGTAAATGTGTATATGACTTTTAGAAGGTGTGCGATTAATGAGATAGGTGACAGTGAGAATGCATTCACCCCAAAAGGAGATGGGAAGGTTGGCCTGAAAACGCAAACACCGAGCCACATTAAGAAGGTGATGATGCTTGCGCTCAGCAATGACATTTTATTGAGGCGTGTCCACACATGTTCTCTCATGAAAAATGCCATGGTCATTAAAAAATTGTTGAATTTTATCAGAGCGAAATTCTAGGCCATTATCAGTTCGTATATTCTTAATGGTGCAGTTGAATTGGTTGTTAATTAGGACACAAATTTTTTTTAAGACATGTAAAGGTATCAGCTTTCAGGCGCATAAGATAGACCCATGTAGCACAGGAGTAGTCATCTACGATGGTCAAAAAATAATGTGCACTCGAAGTTGATGGTGTAAAGTAACCACCCCATATGTCACAATAAATCCGATTAAAACAAAATGTGCTCTTATTAGTATTCAATGAAAAAGGTGAACGAGTGTGCTTTGCTCGAGCACAAACATCACAAGACAAATGAGAGCTAGAAATATTTAAATTTTTTGGAACACACTGAAAGGAAGGATGACCAAGGCGTTGGTGCCAAAGAGTAGAATCAGAAGTGCGTTGACTATGAAGAGCAGAAGCGGAGAAAGGTTTGAAGTAGTAAAGTCCATCCTGTACTTCACCTGTTCCAATCAGCCTCCTCGTTGATAAGTCCTGAAAAACACAAAAAGTGGAGAAAAAAATGGCAACACAATAGAGAGCAGCTGTGAGTTTACTAATGGATAATAAATTGAATTTAAATGAAGGCACATAAAGGACATTAGAGAGGGAGATGTCATGAGAAAAATTCATTGTCCCAACGTGAGTTATGGAAACAACTTCACCATTCGGAAGCTTAATAGGACATGGCCTCTCTAGATTGTGAACATTCTCAAGAGAGGGTAAATTCGAAGTCATGTGATCTGATGCACCAAAATCAACAAACCATTCAGAGTTAAGGGAAAAAAAAAAAGCAGAATGACAAGAGGCAATATTACTAGCAAAGTTTGCAGAGTTCGAGGGCGAT